TCCTATATGGGGTTCATTGAGCTTCTTGGATGATCGGCTTTTCATCTTTCATGGTATTGGGGATGTTTTCTGTCAGCAGTTCTTCAGTGATCCTCTCTGTTTTCTGTTTTCTCTTCCTGTTCTGGAACTCTGATCACTCGCGGATTTTTGCTTTTGATTGTATCCCACATAATTCTCAGAGTTTCTTCATTTTTCTTCGTTCTTTTTTCTGATTTTCTTCAGAGTTGTATGCCAGTGTTTGTCTTCAATTTCGCTGATCCTGTCTTCCATTGTTTCAAACCTGCTCCTTGGCCCTTCTGTGACACTGTCCATTTCTGAAATCTTGTTGTTTATCTTTTGGATTTCTAATTGTTGTTTTTGTATGATTTCTACTTGTGAATTTATTTTAGCATTTTGTTCCTGTATTATTTTCTTGAATTCTTCCATTTTTTGTATTTTCTGTGAATTTGTCCGCATTCTCCATGAATTTGTCTAGTTTTTCCTCATTTTTGTCACTTTTTGCTTCAACTCTTCGGTATTTCTGAATATTAGATATTTGAATTCCCTATCAGGTCTAGTACCTTTTCTTCTACTGGAAGGTCATCTGGTGTTTTATTTTGGACACCTACTGGAGCCATCCTGTCCTGTTTTTGTAAATGTTTTGATATTGTTTGCTGTCTTTGGGGCATTCAGTGGTTATTTTCCTCGTTTATTGATTGTAGGTTTGTTTCATCTTGCTTTTTTGTTTTATTTGGTTATGTCTGAGCAGGCGGGCTGTGCCTTCTTTGTTGTTTGCTCGTCTGTGGGCACGATACTTTTCACCTTCTTCTCCAGTGGGCAAGGTCAGTCACTCAGGTATGGTAGAGCAGGTCAGGTCCAGCTGAAGGGGAGTTGCTGGGATGGGTTGTTTGTGGCACGTACCAGGGCTGACAGTGCAGACCAGGAATCAGTGCCGGGCAGTTTCCAGTAGGCCGTGCTTGTGCTGCTTGGGAGTGTGATGTTCAGCACACAGTGCAGGCAGGCAGGAAGGAGGGGGTAGATTGCAGTGGAGCTAAGATGGTTATGGGAAAGATGAGAGAAAGGAGACAGGAACAGGAGCCAAAAACATACACACAAACAAAAAAGAGTGCTAAGGGAGCTTGCTGTTGGAGTAGAAAGATGAGAGCCTGAGAAATGGAGAAAAAGAAAAAGGGTAAAAGAAAAAATGAATTAATCAGGAAACTGGAAATGAAGAAAGACAAAAAGGGAATACGAGAGAGAAGAAAACAAAACAAAACACAAAAAACAAGGAAAAAAATGCCCCCAGGGATGTCCCTGTGCATCTGCGCAGAGTAAGGGAGTAGCTTCCAAGCCACACGCTACTGCCTGGCTAGAAGGGGTTCCAAGCCGAGAAAAGAAAAAGAAAACAAACAAATCAGAGCAAACAAACAAAAAAGCCCCAGGAGTCACACCAGCATGGCGACATGGGCCGGGAAGCAGTTTCACAGTCGAGTGGTGTTTCGCAGCCTTTCAGGAAGAAGCAAAGTTGGCGCATGGAGCCAGGTATTTGGGAGGAAGGAGTGGGAGGTGGTGAGAGGTAAGGAAGAAATCTACAGAAGTGGAAGAAAGCAACACCAGCAGCCAACAAAAGGCACTCAGGGAGCCAGCCAGTGCGGGCAGGTGGAATCCGAGCGACATCGGGGTGAAGCTGGTGCTTACCGGCCAAGAGACTGTGGCTGCAGGAAGCAGAGGAGGCTAAGTGGGGGTGAAGAAGGGTAGGGAGTGGGAAAACCTGTATCGCTGGTTACCGGTTGTTCTGTCTCCTGCTGGAAGCTCCATGAATCTGCTTTTTCATACTCCCTGTTCGCTGATCTCCTGTAGGAGTCCAAGATAGCGGATCCGTGCTGTGGTAGCTGATAAGTACCTCTCCATGTATCTCTCCTCACTCTCTATTCTCGGTCAGTTTCTTATTCCATTCAGTGCCTGGCTGAGTTCTTTATCTCTTCATTTGATGCTAAGGGTTTCAGGATTGATGTGTGACTCTTTGACTTAGTTTTTCTGATCTTTGCTGTGGAGGGACAGCGTGGTGCTTCTGATTATAGGGCCATGTTGCCTGGAAGTCCTCTCTGTTGTTCTTAACCTCTTTTTCATATTCTCCTGTCTCCTTGTCCCTGTGTTACATTATAAGTAATTTCTTTCAGTCTGTCTTTACTACGTTTTTTAAAAATTTTAGATATAATTCGCAAACCACAAAGTACCGTTTTAAAGTGTACACTTAGGTAGTTTTTAGTGTATTCACAAGGTTGTGCAACTGTCACCATGATCCAACTCCAGAACATTTTCATCACTCTACTACATCTTTTTCAAGTATTAGCTAATCTGTTTTTTAACTCATCCCCTGGGGTGTTTTTGTTTGTTTCTTTGCTTTTGATAACTGTGTTCTTCAATTGTAAATGTCTAATTTGGTTCTTTGTGTAGTCTGCCTACTTATTTTTATAGTGCTTCTTATTTCTGTAGTTCCGTCCTATTTTTAAACATTTTATACTGTTTTATATTTGGTAACAGATTAAGCCGGGATCTGAGATTCTTGGGGGCCTAAATCTGTTGTTTATTTCCACTGACTCTCACTTACAATAGCTTTATTTCCTTTTGTGTATGGTGATCTTTGATTGTAACTCATATTTGGCTGATCTTAACCTAGGGAAATTTTTAGGTCAAAATTGAGAATGCTTTTTGAGAGAGTTTGTGGTTCCCTTTGCAAAGACCCAGAGATCCTGGGATCTCTCCTATCCACTTCCAGGTTCTTTTATTTAATGAGGAGTCTCACACTTAGCTCATCCACCTTGCTCAAAGCTCAAGTCCCCAGTGTCACCCACATGTCTTCAGGAAAGCCGTTGCCTTTCCTGTCTCTGGTTTCAGATTCAGATCATGGTGGATTTTTTTGTTTTGTTTTCTCTAGTTGCCCCTTTTGGGATCAGCCTTTCTTCCTTTGGATCCAGCAGTGCAGTAAAAAATGTATTTTTTATGGGATCTGGGTTTTTTTTTAGCCAGTTAGAATGTAACTTAGGAGCAGGGCATGGCAGAGAATCTAGTTCACCATACTGCCAAGAGAGAAAGTAAAATTAAACCGTTTGGAACATTTGTTTATTTGAAAACAACTGTTAAGACAACCACATAAATGACACCCTACCAAATTGCCATTTGTGCTCTATCCAGCTATTACTGATACCATTAAATTTATTACCCTTTTTTCTCTCTTCAGGTAAGATAGCTTTCTTTATATAGCATTTACTTAAAATTTCACCAGGTTCATTGTTAGTTTGTTTCTATTTTGTGGTTCTTACAGGATTATGTTGACAAAGAGAAGGCAATTGCAAAAGCCTTGGAAGACCTCAGAGCCAATTTCTACTGTGAACTCTGTGATAAGCAGTATCAGAAACATCAGGAATTTGACAACCATATCAACTCCTATGATCATGCACACAAGCAGGTGAGGAATAGTTACCTGCTAACAAAGAAACAGATACTTTTACGTGTTAAAACTATAGAATTTTATGAGTGTACCCAAAAAAACTTGGTGAATATCGTTTCTTTTGTCTGCTGGTTTTTATCTGAGGTCGTCTGGCGTATTTGATTTTTTCAGAGGCAGCAGTTCTGACGTAGATCTTCCTCTCCCCACCCTTCCCTTAATGATATTAAGTAGACTGAAGAATTGTGAGTTTCATAAATTTTACATAAAGTTTTTGACTTTGAGTGATTTCTAAATTTTTATTTACTTTGGTAATTCAACTTAAGGTCATTAGGAGCTTTGTTTCCCTTTCTCCCCTTTTCTGAACATGCTAAACTTTGAAACAGTTACCTCAGGCTGTGGTCTTTTCATTTTCCATGTGCTTTATTGGCTACCATTTCCTATCGGTAAGTCATTTGGTTATTCAGTATGCCTTGTAAGGTAGATAAATATGGAGAAGGAAAATAAAATTAGGAACTGCCTTAACTTTAATAAAAAACTCTGATGCTGCATGTTGAAGAGCTTGCTGAAAAAATAAATTACACTTTCTTTATTTGCAGTCTTTTTTTTTAAAATTGATTTAGAAAAGAAACTTGCTTGTACCTAACTAGTTACTGGTATAAAGAAGATGGCGGTAATTCCCCTGGGGAATTTTAGAAGGAGGAAATTAATCTTTAGATCTGTAGGAGAGTTCTGGATTATTAAAGAATTTTAAGCCATTTGGTCTTGGGTGAATTTAACAGAACTCAGTAGGTCTTTGAGGATACAGTAGTTGTATTTGTTAAACTTGTAAGAATTACGAGCATCACTGGAATGATCTCTCTTAAACTGGACCTGTTGAATCAAGATTTTTTTTTACAACTACTTCTTCAACCATAAGATTCAATGCACAGGTAAAAGGCAAGCTTTGACTAAGTTTTACTCTTAATAGCACAGGGATAGTTTGTAAGCTGGTTATGATAGCATACTTTTTTGCAGCAATCTCTTTCATGTTTAACCACACATAACCAATTTAAGATTTTTCCATTGATAGAGTGTTGTAAAAATGGCTTGGAGGCAGTGTCTGACCTCCTCTAATTTCATAAGGGGGCGGGAGAACCAAGACTGACGGCCTAAGGCTGATTTCTGTAGGCAGGGGTCAGACATGCCTCCTCTCTCTGCCATCTTTACTAGTTCTGACACCAGCCATCCCTCCCACAGCACTCTCTACTGGGTTTGATAATTCATTTCAGTGGCCACGCAGAACTTACAAACTGTACTCACAATTATGGTGTTTATTAGGGAAGTAACAGTTACAGTTCAGGCTCGGGAATACTCAGGATACACTTCTTCCATCTGGACAGGACAGCCTCTTCTCAACTGTGGGCATGCTTCTTCCTGGCCCTAGGCCTCTCCCCAAAGGCACTCAACTTTCTCAGTCTGTGGGCTGGGAAGCGGGCCGGGAAGCCCACTTCACCGTCTCCTGCTGCTGGGTCTCATCTGGGTCTCTTCTGCCACTGCCTCTCACCATCCTGTCCTCAGGGTTATAGTTTGTTCTCTCCACCCCGAATGGCAAATACTGTTTATCCCCCTAATTTTTCCAGTTGTTTGATGTATTTATGATTTAGATTTTCAAGTTACTATTTTTAATGAAATTAATAGCAAAAGCTACCTAAGACATTTAGCATCCAAATACATATCTACCTTTGTGGGCTCATGAGAATTTCTTCAATTAAAAAATGTCTTTCATAAATGAAAAGACTCCAGAAGAAACTTCATGCACAAAAAGGACATTTAAAAAGGTTACATTTTTAGTTGATGAAAAATCTTTTGAGTAAAGTTGGAACTAGAAAAAAGAAGCAAGAAAGGTGTAACTCCAACTTGAATAATGTATTGACTTGCTTTTAAGGGGAAAATAAATTCTATCAAAACAAAACAGATTTACAAATTAAATCTGAACAAAAGTAAAAACTAATAAAATTTCACACTGACAACATTAATGTGATGGGTGGTGATGTTTTAGTGATGCTGCTGTCAATCCTGAGTGTAGTAGAGATTGTTACAACTCGGGTTCATTTGAATTTGACATGTTTGTTCTCCTGTGGACCTTGTGATGACTCGGTTCTCTTTCACCACTTTTCTCTTTGCAGTGATTCTTAACTTGGGGAGATTTTGCCCCCCAGGGGACATTTGGCAATGTCCGGAGACTTTTTTTGTCACAACTGGGGGGTGGGGGGTGGTGCAACTAGTACACAGAGGCCAGAGATGCTGCTGAACATCCTACAATACACAGGACAGCGCCCGACAACAAAAATGACCTGACCCAAAATGTCAATCCATAATGCTGAGGTTGAGAAACTCTGCTCTGTTAGAACTACTGAAAAACTTTCAAATACGTGTGATGTTGTGATATCATTTGACCTTTACTTGGTACAATCATATTATCATTTTAAGTATCTGGTTATGTTGTGAACATTTATAAGGTGCTTATCTAGATAATCCAGAATATTCATTCATGGACTACCTATTAGAATGTATCTGTTATCTGCGGTCTGGGAAAAATCTTTAGCTGGTGTGATTAATAAATGCACATGTTTATTTTTTCACCTTAATCAAAAGCTCATCTTAGGTTATTTAAAAAAAAAAAAAAAACAGATGTAGTATGAGTTCCGTTTTGTTTCATTTTTGGTGGCATGTTCTTTAGTTCATTTGATTGAAATACAAGCTTTTCCACCTTTCTTCATGCTGCTTTCTTAATGTAAATGACAGAATCTGGAAACAGAATGTTGTAAGCATATAAATAAACAACAACAAAAAACACAGTACTAAATTTTTTATAGTTTAACTCTTCCCTGTGCTTAGAATTTATAAGGAATCTTTAATCGACCTTGGTATAGTTAAATAACCCCCAACAGGAAGTAGGTCCTATTTTGTGTTCTTCTTTGATGGACATGAACTTACCATACAAATGGACCTACCATTTTCCAAATTCTTGCTCTAAAATCATAAAGACACCCTGTCTTGTCTTCCAGGAAGGCACACAGGATTCTTATGAATCTGAGATAATAGGTAAGTACATTTAGCCCTATGTTAGTAATCCCTAGTTTGCATCTTCCATCAAATTATTATGGTAGTGATAAAGTACTAGTATAGGCAGGATCCTGAACATACCTTTACCTTTATTCAGCACACATAATCTCTCAAAAAGCAGCTATGTGGTCACCCTCATTCATGGTGATTTTATTTTTTTTTTGGATGAGTGTGTTATGTGCTTTACCATATTCACTAGGTTTTCTCAAATTTCCTAAGATATTTTATGAAGAAAGTCATTAATACCAAAATATTAAGACCCAGCTTAATCTTCAAAGATGCAAAAGCTAGTGAAAGTGATAAATTTTAATACATTTTGAACTCTCCAAGGGTAGGGCTTTCTGTTCCTTAAGATATAACCGAAACTATGATTCGTTTTTATATGTTAGTTCTGATATGCCTGAATGTTCAAAAAACATTAGCACCCATCTTCTCCTACCTTTGTTGACTTGGTTATAAGTTAAAGTTGAATTTGAAATTAAACATTTTTCCATCCCTACTTGCCTCTTTAATTATTTTTCATATCTTTTTTATAAACGTGTCTACTAACGGATATGACAGTGGAAATTATTTTCTTCAGTTTTTCAAGGGGCTTAAAGTTCAAATTCCAAAGACATTCTCTTTCTCAGAAGTAAATTTGTAGCAGCATGATAATAGTCAATACCTTCTTTTATCTAACTCCTATCATTAAATATTGAATTTGCGCCACTGGATGATTTTGGTAATTGTATTTAATAATTATTCAATCTTCATTATGCCCATTGTAACTTAAATTATTTTCTCCACTCTTATTAAGCTAAAGAAAACTTTATTTATTAGTAATTATTAGTCACATGTACTCTTTCACTTTAGTACCAGGCTACTATGTTTATTATAACACTTCTTTTTTTTTCCTTTCTTGGTGCTTGTTTTCTACTTAAGATTCTTATCCTCTTCTGTTGTGCCACTAAGGGTTCCTCCCCACCAGAGATCACAAAAAATTATTGTTTGGCCTTTATGCTGTTAGTTTTATCCCTTTAATTTCAGTTGCTTCCCTCTTTTTAAAAATTAGGAGATTTCATATAATTCAGATTTTGGCTTGTCTTGGAAAATTTAAATATCTGACAACATTATGCCTGTATTTCAATATACATAATCGTCTGTGGTAGCCTTATCCAGTCATCAAAATCTGGCACTCTAAAACAGCTTCAAGAAATTCCTTTAACTTTCAGAGAGAACTACTGTCTTGGTCAGAAGGAAGAATACTTTCACCTCAGATAGCTTCAGTATGAGAACCTCTATACTTTTTATGTTTTCTGAAAAGACTGAAGTATCATTTAATACCTAGGTTATGAGGTCTGCTTCGGCTGTGAATAAAAGTAGTAGTTTCTTAGCTCTAAATAGCTGAACTAAAACAGATGAAGCCTATAGCCACCACCGTGGCTTCTCTATTCTAAATTGTACAGAATAGAATCTATTACTATATGATTTTAGTTAAGTTTGTCTGAACGATTGCAACTACTTTTTGACAGTATTGCTTAATTATTAGTTGACTGAGTAATTCAGTACCCAGTCATGTATATTACTAAGGAACAGAAATTTGAGAGTTTTCCTCATTGCTCAAAAGTGAAACAGATTCTGAAGTGTATTTTCTGAGAAATTCCTTGGTAATAGAAGCAGTAGTCATTTTTGGACTTCACAAAGACTTCAGTGAAGGTTGGAGTGGTCGCTGTCCGTTTAAAATGTCACTGTTTACTGATTGGATTTTTGCCTCTTAAGATTTTTACATCGTTTGATATTCTGTATGCTTGATTTATGGGGCAACAGGACAATAAGCATATCACAACCAGTTGGATCTCTGGAAAGCCAAATGCAGATTTGAAGAAATGCAGACTAGGTTTCTTTATCAGTGATGCTTTGAGATTCAGTGGGGTGAAAACCTAGAAGTAAATTAAAAAAGGCAAGATGAGAGAAGACAATTCTAGGACTAAATTAAAAAGAAAATGATGCCTCTAAGACGTTAGACCACCAAGATCAGTGACCCATGAATATATTCCTTAAGTACTTTATTTTTGGGCTGTTTACAGAATGTTTGTCCTTAGAAGACCATAAAGTAATTATTGCAAAGATGTGAAATCAGTTTGGAAACTATAAAGTAGCTATGAATCCAAAGCTTCATAAATGTTGATTTAAACAGTAGTTTACTTCTGTTATTATTATGCATTGAGAAGCAAAGCAAGTGTGAAGGGGGAAATGTATCTCAGAACTTGAGCATATTATAGTTTTATTTTAATAGCCTATAGCAAAGATGTAAAAGTTTTAGGCAGTGGTACTCTGTACCAGTGTGGATGCTGTTTTCTTTGGAGCTTTGCTTAATAAGAGAATCCATATCATCCAGCCAGTCTTCCAAAAATTGAGCATATTTTGAGCCTTTTCACGTGGGGGCTACCATGTTAAATCTTATGTACTCACCAACTCTGCTTGTGTTGGGAATAGACTTTTTTGTACACTCATCTGTCAAAACCTAGTTAACCTTGCAAAAATCTGCATCAGCTCAAGGAAACTGTCTGCTTTTCTGTATAGGGGTAACCCTAAAGAGCCCTTTGGAAAGCTAATATTGTGGGTAAACTCTGCATTCTCTTATTATGCATGTGTAACTCTGGTTCTTCATCCTGGCACACAATCCCGATGTGAATAAAAATGATTCTACATAATTTATGTTCTGCAGCTTTCAACCTGCTTTCTGCCCCTATACACTTTAATTAATTGCAGTGATTCATGGAGACGAGATTCTGGAATGAGGCTGTGTGTTCTCTTGTTGACTGCAAAGTAAGAGCAACCTAAGTAATAATGATAAGTTCATTAGTGAAAATGCAAAAAGAGCTCTGAACTGGGAAATTGCTATTCCGTTTGCTTTCGGCCCAACCATCTCATCAATTATGCTCTTTCAATAAAGGGCAAATCTTTGTCTCCAGACATGATCTGGAGAGCTATGGAGATATACTTAAAACTCATTATCCACTAAACCGCAAGGGAATACCATTTCATACCCATTAGTATAGCTACAATAGAAAAGACACAATAAAAAGTATTGGCAAGGATTTGGAGAAATTAGAACCCTCATACATTGCTGCTGGCGTTGTAAAATGGTTCAGCCACTCTGGAAAATGGTCTGCCAGTTCCTCAAAAAGCTAAACATAGAATTACTGTATGACTCAGCATTTCCACTCTTAGGTATATACTTAGGAGAATGAAAACATGTGTCCATACAGAAACTCATACAAGAATGTTCATAGCAGCAGCATTCATAATAAGCAAAAGGTGGCAACAACCCAAATGTCCATTAGCTGATGAATAGATAAATATAATGTATATCCATATAAAAGAAAGAATATTACTCAGCCATAAAAAGGAATGATGTACTGATACACATGCATGAACCTTGAACATATTATGCTAAGTGAAAGAAACTAGTCACTAAATACCCCATATTGTATGATTCCATTTATATGAAAAGTCAAGAATAGGCAAATCAACAGAGACAGAAAGTAGATTGGTGGTTTGGGGAGCTGGGCCCAGATGGGAATGGGGAGTGACTGCTAATGGGTATGAGGTTGTTCTAGAATTAGATGGTGGTGCTTATTCAACTCTGTGAGTGTACTACAAGCTACTAAATTGTATACTTTAAAAAGGACGAATTTTATGGTATATGTATTAAAATGTGGTGGTGGTAATAGCCATATAAATATGTTTATATATTTATACACACACATATACACACAGACATATGTATGTCTGTGTGTGTATTAAAATACCTTAAAGCAGGCATACCACAGGTACTGTTAAAGAATCTACTTTTAAGGCTTTTTACTGAGTTCCTAAACATAGCAAAGCAAGTATTCCACAGTAATTTTATGACAAATTAATTTGCTATCCACTTAATGATATTAGTAGTCATTGTGCTGCAAAGTAATTTGGACGTAAACGGTAAGTATTGTCATAAATGACTAATTAATATTACTCTTATCCAGCCAAAAGAATTTATTCTTTTCTTTTTCCCTTTCAGTTTTTTCAATACCTGTAATCAGCATCAGTGTTTAGTTTTCTCTGTTACTGAATAAGATTAATTTTTGTCGCTCACTGATATGCATGTGCTAAAATGAAGAATTTATACCTAATGTCCAGTAACTTGGATTTCCTTAACCATTCAGTCATAATCTTCCCTCCCTGGGTATTTTAATGCGGAGGCTGTCTGTGTTCTCTCCTGGTCTTTTCTCTCTCACCACATAGAGATGTCCTGGATGGCCTCATCCAGAAGCATCCGTACACTGAAACTTAAGTCGGGGTGACCTGGCCAAGCAACAACTACAGCATGTATACTTCAAATGGAGAGGGGAGAGGAGACTTCCATTAAGGTTATGGCATGAGAGAGAGGCAAGAAGGCACAGTGGGAAATGAGGCTGTGGGTCTTAGGTATGCAGAATTGTTGGCATAAGAGGAAAGGGAGTCTTTAAGGTTGCAAGATGCCAGATTAGGCTTAGCCAAAAAAGGTCAAGGTGCAAACAACCACACCTTCTTTACTCACCCTGCTTCCCATCTCTGTCAGCAAATAGTACACGGAAGTGTGTGCGTGCGTGCGTGCGTGCGTGCGTGTGTGTGCGTGTTCCCCTTCCTAACATTCCTCTCCCCAAAACTAATTTAAAACCTGAAACCAGTTAGATAAATGTTTATTGAGCATCTCTTAATGTGCCATAGACAATGATGTGTGCACTGGGGTTAGTTACAAAGGACAACTAAACCTCAGTCCCTATTGTGGGGATGTAGGGTTGCTATCTGGTGAGAGAAGGAAACCATGGATAATCTTTTGACTCTAAAGAGACAAATCAGGTTTTCTCTCCAGAGCTGAGTAAATATAAAACATAGGAATTTTAGTGGCAGTAAATGCTCTACCTTAAATTCTGTTTTCTGATACCTGAAATTCATTTCATGTGGAACAATGGTTTTTATTCTTTAAATTTAGATAGATTTAAAATGCTTGAGAACGATAGTAATCACATGTTCCTAGTCAAGTGTACTCAGTGAAGGATGAATGCCTAGTATCAACTTCTGTTTTGATAAAGGAGAACAGGGTAGCACCAGAAGGTTCCAAAAGATTTTATCAGATTCGGTCCTTTATTTGTCTTTAGGAGAAACTTTAGCAAGAACAGTGTCATGTCTTGCTACTGACAGAGCAATAACTTTCTCAAAATTTCTATCCATTATAGAAAGAAGCTATATATCTTGAGGGCCAGATTAAGGATGATTTTCTACAAAGCCTGATTGTTGTAGTTCCCTTGTTTTAGTAGGTATAATGAGGCAGATGCTTCTGCTCATGAAGTCTGCATTTAAAGAGAAGTAGTTGGATGCTGGGTGATCCTTTTCTGCAAATTTATTACCCACATTAAAAACCTGGTAAGGTTTACTAGATTCTCGTTTCCCTGGCTTATTTGTTCAGAGTTGGATGATAAGCAGGAGTTTGTGTCTGGAGTAAGACAGTTTTCTGCCAACACAGTGCTGTATAGCTGTGCTTTAAGAATTGGAATGTCATTTACATGTGAAATGGTCTTTAGCCCAAAGAGCTACAATTATGTGAGTGGGTATCAAGTGCTGGGTCAAAAGACCTCTACTGGTTTTTTGGAAAGTTTAGTAGAAATCTCAGCTACTATGTGACTGAGACTTACTGGGAAAAGTTCTTCTATTTCTGTGCAAAAAATATGTCCTTTTTTTTTTTTGGAAACATGCTATTGATTTTTCAGCAAAATAGGATCTTCACATCCTTTTATTTTGAATGGGGTTCCGTCTCCTATTCTTTGAATCAAAATATTTTCCAGCTAAAAATGTGTTATTTGACTTAAAATTCTGTTAATAAGCTTTAATAGAGAAGTTTCCAATAAAATAAGGAAATTTATGAACAACTCTTTAGAAAGCGTTCTTTATAGTTTGCAGAGATAAAGACGTAGTAGCTTTGGAGTCAGTTTAAATGATTAATTATATCCATTCCAACTGTGTCCCAGTTTGGAGTTTTAACTTGCATTTTTGTTTATGGTATGGAATTTGCTCGGCCTTTGACAAGAGTTTTTGGATTGATGACACATCTGCAATTTTTGGTTTCCTTACATGAGCTCTTTCTCTTCTCTGAAAGGCAGGTATGTTGCTTCTCTATTCTCACCTGAAGAAGTTATCTAAAGTTGTGTTCCTCTTTAGAATTTAAGAAGAAAGTCGAAGTACCAACTCATAGAGAATTTCACACGCACATTCAGTGGCAAATGAGCCAGGCCTGGTAGTCTTTTGGAATAAAATAGGCACTTTGGGAAGCCTGACTCTGAATTAGGGCCTTGTAGCTTTATCAAAGGGGCACTGGCGGTTCAGTGAACCCAGGTTCGATATTCAGCCAGTGCACCTCTGCACAGCTACCACGCATCTGTCAGTGGAGGTTTGTGTGTTGCTATGATGCTGAAAAGCCTTCAACAGAGCTTCCAGACCCAGACAGACTAGGAAGAAAGGCCTGGCAGTCTACTTTTGAAAATCAGCCCATGAAACCTTATGGATCACAACATGAGATCTGTAACTGATCATGGAGATGGCACAGGAACAGGCAGCATTTTGTTCCATTGTACATGGGATCACCATGAGTCAGGGCCGACTCAATGGCAGCTAACAACATTTGTAAAAATTAGTTTTTGGATAGGAAGTTGAGGCATTTCTGGTCAATGCCTTTTTTGCCATTTGGCTCAATTCTGCCCTGAAGTAATGAACTTAAAATTTTAAGCTTTTTGTTTCTCTGAAGAATGCGCCTTCCTACTAGCTGAGAGTAATAGCTGGAAAGACCATATTATATATCTTGAATATATATATCCCTAATACCAGTTGCCATTGAGTCAATTCCGACTCACAGCAACCCTATAAGACAGAGTGGAACTGCCCTATAGGGTTTCCAGGGAGCAGCTGGTGGATTCGAACTGCTGACTTCTTGGTTAGCAGCCGAGCTCTTGACCACTGTGCCACAAGGACTCCATACATATCCCTATTAAACCCATTACACATCAAGTCGATTCTGACTCATAGTGACCCTATAGGACAGAGTAGAACTGCCACATTGGGTTTCCAAGGCTGTAAATCTTCACGGAAGCAGACTGCCACATCTTTTTCCCAAGGAGCGGCTGGTGGGTTCAAACCGATCTTTTGGTTAGCAGCCAAGTGCTTAACCACTGTGCCACCAGGGCCCCTCCATGTCCCTAGTAGAGATATGAAAATATTTCATATCAACCTTTCCTACAAACGGTAGAAATTTTATTTGGGAAAAATCAAGGATCCCGTGTTTAAGCCAGTTATTCACCAAGCGTTTACCATACACTTTCTGTAGACTTAGTACTGCTCCATGCACTTCAGGGTTGATTGCGAAGATAAGCCCTAGTCCCTATCCTACATGAAGAGGGAGCAGTATTGGAACAGTTGTGACCTACTAAGTGCTTTCCATTTATTTTGACAATCTCATAACTCTTTTGATAGATAGTCCTGTTTTTCTAATGAGGGAACTGGAGCTCAGAGAGGTGAAATCACTTGGCTAGTAATTAATGGAGTTTAACCCAGCTGTTCCTGACTCTGAAGTTTTACATGTACTACCTTTCTGTAAGGCAGGAATGTAGTCAGAGACAAAAATATGGTTGGTAGAAGGAGGTATACATACTAAGTGCTGTGGTAGTTCAGAAAGAAGAAAAACCCTATCTGAACAATCAGGGACAGATAGGGGTCAGTAGAGACTTAGTGAGGGGAATTTAGTTTGACCTTGAGTAGGAAGGAGAGATTTGGAATTAGGCATCCATTCTAGGTAGAGGAAAAGGTAAACCCTAAAACCCATGTCTTATTATTTTTATCAGAATGTCCTCATCTGAGAGAGACCTCAAATACACATTTTGGGTTAGGGCAGATGGGCGTTGCCAAGCGCTGAACTCTGAGGTGTTTGGATTAGAATTCAGGTATTTCCAGTTCTTCTTTCGAGACCCCAGACTTGGCTATAAAGATAGTAAGGGTGGTGTAGGAGTGTTTACTACACCTTATACAGCACCAGTATAGCTTTGCCTAGAGGGGGACTGCAATTTGAATGTTTATTGACATTCTGTTTTCTTCCCATTGTACCTCCAGACATATACCTGTAGTAGGAATTTGAGGTAGGATATCTTCAGGATGATGTGCACATGGTCCTATCCTTTCATCTTCAATGTTGCCCAAGTGGCTACTGAATGATGGGAAAGCCTCATCTCTGTCTGACTCAGCCTAGAGACTCCAGAGTTTGATAAAATGATTGCCCTTTTGAACAGTGTTACGTAGTTCAGGAAACACCTCCTAAAGTGATGAAATATTTCTAAGAGCTTAGGAAGGAATGACTGAACATGGGGAGATTTTCTAGGCTTTTAGGGTAGCTAGAGAGAGGGCGACAGATAGGATAAAAACACACTTTCTATTTAAGTCTTGGCTAGAGAGCCTCTTAAGTGTTAGGGAAGAAAAAACTAGGTTTGTGGCCTAAAACAATCACATGAAAGGCCTCATGGCCCGTTTTTCTCTGCTTCATTCCCCTGGGAAGGAGGAAATTGGAATTCATATTTACTTAAAGTACTTTTTAAAGTCTTGAAATGGTTTTATAAAAACCTTAATTCTAGGCAGCCAGCCTCGGTGAAATAGTTTTGCCAGCTGTTGCTTGCTTGAACTTTCCCCAAAGTAAAGGTAAATGAAAAATCCAAGACTGACCACTTTTAGACAACAGTTTTCCTTTTCCCAAGTTCTGTAACCATTTTTCTGGAAGAAATACAGATATTACCATTTACCTAGTTGGAATCATTACTGTGTCTGTGTGTGTGTATACATACGTGTTGTACAGGTGTTTCCCTTCTCCCCTACCCTTTTAGAGTTGATGGCTTTGTCCCTGATTGTTCAGTATAATAGTTTGCAGATTCACTAAGAGAGCTTGTGTAGTAATGCTTGCTTTATTTATTTATTTTTTCTCTTCCACTCTTGTTTTATTTTTCACTTTTTTTTCTTTGTGATGTGACATTTTCAGCTGATGTATTGAAAGCAAATCCTTCTAATTTGGGAGCCCAGATCACAAGAGTGAGTTTTTTACTAGTGTCTTTAGCTGTATATCTTTTCGTGTGTGTGTCTTTCCACCCTTCTCCCCTCCAAGTTCAGTAAAAATTCAAAACACGTTTCATAAATACTAGATAAGAAAATTCCTCTGTCTGTTGAACATCATGCCTTTCCACAAAGCAATGTCCACTTTATATTGGGTCAAATTCCTTTTTGTAATGCTATTGTAAAAGCATAGGCTAATGTGTGTGTTCTGTTTTGTTCGTTTGCTTTTATATTATATAATGTGTTGAAAACAATTTTAATTCTGTCTTCATTGCAGATAGATACATCTGGACTCTGTCACCAGTTATGTCATGACACTGTTTTTTTGTTTGTTTAATTTTGTTTTTGTTTTTAAGGAAAATTGTATAGTAGCTTCTGGGACTAAAAAATCCATTCTATTATCTGAATTTTAAATAGTAAATTCTTTGACTTATCTCTGTTCTCCCTCCTCATCCCCTGGATGTTCTTCTCAGGGCCATGAAAGAATGAGAAGCTACATGTCTGCTCTCTAATTTCAGCAGACTGACCAGATGAAAGTGGTCAGACTGGTGAGCTCTGAACATGCTAGCATTGGAAGACCTCTAGGGTTTGTTTAATAGTAACAGGAAAAATCTCTTCATGCTGAAAAGAAATAATAGCACCTTTTTATGGTGAAATGAAAGTATGCTTTCTATATGTGAGTTCTGATTCGGATAACCTCCCCATGTAAGCTGTACATTGCTTTTTAAGATCTTACACCTAGGTAATTTTCTGTACTAGCCTAATCCCTTTCTGTTTTCTTTGGCTTCTGTTAAGATTTATCTTATGCTCTGTTTGTCTGGTTTTGCCTCCTGGAAGAGAAGGTGATTAATAGTCCATTTTCTTCCCTCCCAGTGTTCTAAAATTTGCCCATTGCTTTTGAAGTTATTTTATTTTACCCAATAAGGCAAATGATATGCTGTCCTAATTAGAAATGCAGGTACTTCAAGTGTTTTGCCCAAAGTAATCAGCCACTGTGTTTTCAATTACAGTGAAGTATAATAATGTATTCTACACTAGCCCTGTAACCATTGGTTAAGAGTAAATATTCTAAAGGTCTTGCTGTCAGGATCCCAATGTCACTGTAAATCACCTACCCTCTTTTCCTTTCTTTCTGTGACCGCAGAGATTGAAAGATCTCAAGCAGCGAGAGTTTGCTCGAAATGTCTCCTCAAGATCCCGCAAGGATGAGAAGAAACAGGAAAAAGCCCTTCGGCGGCTCCACGAGTTGGCAGAGCAAAGAAAACAAGCTGAATGGTGAGAGGATATTTCCTCAGAGGGGACTTTGTCGTCGTTGTTAGTTGCCATCGATTCTGACTCATGGCGACTGTGTGCAGAGTAGAACTGCTCCAGAGGGTTTTCAAAGCTGTGACCTACAGCGGGGACTACAGATAGTTACAATTGTTAGTATTTTTAATAGATCCTTTCAAACTAAAAACATATCTATACTTAGGTGTATAATACAGTGGTTAAGAGTATACACTTTTGAGGCCATACCCTACTTATTATCTGTGTGACCTTAGACAAGTTATCTAAGCTCTCTATGGCTCAGTTTTCTTATCTGTAAAGTGTGGAGAATAACAACAGTTTGCTTCTTACAATTGTGAGGAGTGAATGAGTTAATATATCTCAAATATTTAAGAGTGCCTAGCACATAGAAGATGCTCAATAAATGATGCGACTATTATTATTATTGTTATTATTTCCATTCTCCAACATTCTCTTATGTAGAAAGGTATATATATTACAGCATTCTGTTTTATAGCTAAAAAGCACTATGGCACAGATTCAAATGTTGTAACTGCCTTTTAAGCACTATACAATTAGTACTTAACACTCAAACACTCTAAAACCTAAAGAATTCCATCCATTTATTTCTGTGCAGGTTTCTGCCTTGAGTGTTCTTTTTAATGTTCTTTCATACTGATATCAGTTTTTGGGTGGTATTTAGCTTTAGGTGGAATTTATCCCACTTAGGGCTGAATTTCCAAGCACTAGACTCTGGGGACCCAGTCTTTGGGCACTTGAGGCTGTGTGCCTCATTCTGAAGGACTTAAGCCCCTTTGCTTGTTTTTACTGTCTGGCCAGGACCAACAGAAGGAACTGGTTACAGTAGAAACAGAAATTATGATTGTGGCTTTAAGAAGTTTATAGCCAATTTGGGGTCAAAGTTCCCAAGTTCCTGAACTTAATAGGTTTATTTTGTCTCCTGAGAGTCCTTTTTTGACTTACTTACCTCTCTTGTGTTTTGGAGGAAGAAGGAAGGTAGAGAACATCTGTAGTGTGAAGTTTTGAAGTTTTGAAGCAGAATTAACCTATGAATTCTAATACTTAGTTAAACTGCTTGTAAACTAGTTCTTATTCCTTCCTTGGCAGCTGTTTATATAGTAAACACATTCTTCTTGGGCATTTTGCAAGAATACAAAAAAAAAAAAAAAAAAGTTGCTGTCAAGTCAGTTCCGACTTATGGCGACCTCATGTGGCAGAGTAGAAAACAATTAAAAATTGACCAAATAATCACTTGGGAGAATAAAAGAAGATTTTGATCCATCACCAGATACTTTGTTTTTCTAAGAGTACATGCATGACCCATAGTACTATTGAAGTAACATGGTGAAGACTAGGCAAAAGATCAAAATGAATCCCCTTTTTATTCAATTTGAGGTGTTTTTTTTTTTTTTTGTTTTTTGTTTTTTACCATGGGGTGGTTTCTATAACAGGTGTAAGTATCCCTTCTACTCAAATTTGTTTGGTTCCCTTGTTCCAGTAACAAGAGTTTAGATAGCAAGGGATACCACATTTTCTGAATATATTTGATACCAGAGTTTAGAGCAGTTAGTAGCTAGGGTTCAGATAACAAGTTCTTCATCCAAATGTATATCTAATTCCATTTAGTTCTTGACTTTGGTTAACAAACTTGTACAGTCCACATACAGTAAAAATCTCAGGCAAGACAGGCAGTTTAAAACACTGGTATTGAGAACTCTTCAGTGTTTCTGTTGTCACAGCTGAGAAAATGCTTGGTAGAATCATGACAGTGGTGCTGAATGCCCAGAAAGTCGAAAAGCAAAGCAAATGCTTGGGTTCTCAGGAGATAGGTACAGAGTCTTACTTTCTAAAAAAAGATATGTTGACCACAGACTGCCATAGAGTAGCACAGTGGAGGTCTCTGTATGTGTTTAAGTCAGAGAATATACACATTGTAAAAAACGAATTTGAAAGCACATGGGGAAATTAGATTTTTTTGTTTTTTAGCTGAATGAAATACAACATTTGTGTGTAGATGTACAACCATATGTTTGATAGCATACTGAATGGTAGGATGCTTTAATAAGAAATGAGATTGGAAACAGGACAAGGTAGACTATACCAGGTAGTAATGATGGGGTATTTGAATTCTGAGATGAGCCTCACTTGCTGAATTTTAGGCAGTCTAGGAAGAAATAGCAGTAGTTACTGGCCCTGGAAATTTAGCTTGGCAGGTTAACAGTATGAGACTGCCTAACCTTCACTGAGGAAGTTCCATTTGGTAGCACGGGGCTAGGGAAGGACCACCTGTGATGAATGGTAGAACATAAGAGATGGGTATTTTATAAGATGTTTGAAATGTGCCCCTAAACCTATCTTTTCTTTTTTCTAAACCATTATGTAGTGCACCTGGAAGTGGTCCCATGTTCAGACCAACCACTGTGGCTGTGGATGAAGAAGGTGGAGATGATGAAAAGGATGAATCATCTACGAACAGTGGCACAAGTGCCGCCGCCACTAGTGGCCTGGGATCTGAATTGTCCACAGATAAAGGAGGCCCTTTCACCGCAGTACAAATCACTAACACCACTGGACTGGCACAGGCTCCTGGGTTAGCTTCCCAAGGCATCAGCTTTGGCATTAAGAATAATCTGGGGACCCCATTGCAAAAACTGGGAGTGTCGTTTTCCTTTGCCAAAAAGGCTCCTGTCAAACTCGAATCGATAGCATCAGTTTTCAAGGACCATGCAGAGGAAGGAACTTCTGAAGATGGAACAAAAGCTGATGACAAGGGTTCTGACCAAGGGCTGCAGAAGGTGGGAGACTCTGATAGTAGTAGTAATCTGGATGGTAAAAAAGAGGACGAAGACCCTCAGGATGGAGGGTCCCTTGCCTCAACATTATCTAAATTAAAAAGAATGAAGCGAGAAGAAGGAGCTGGGGCTACAGAGCCAGAATATTACCACTACATCCCTCCTGCACACTGCAAAGTAAAACCTCATTTCCCCTTCCTACTGTTCATGAGAGCCAGTGAACAAATGGAAGGGGATAATAGTGCACACCCAAAGAATGCCCCAGAGAGCAAAAAAAGCAGTTCTCCCAAGCCTAAAGGCAGTTGCAAGGTGGCAGCAAGTCAAGGAGCAGAAAAGACAGTTAGTGAAGTCTCTGAGCAGCAGAAGGAAAGCAGTGTGACTGAGTCCTCAGAGCCTGGAAGCAAAACTGAGACAAAGAAGGCCTCAGGAGGGGATGTAAGTGAGCAGAGCTTAGAGAGTCAGAAGGCTTTAGAGATGCAATCGTGTGAGTCCATTACTTCTAAAGAAACCTCTCAGGCCACTCCAGCAGGAAAAGAAAGCCAGGAAGGACCCAAGCATCCTACTGGTCCCTTCTTCTCAGTTTTAAGCAAAGATGAAAGCACTGCCCTCCAGTGGCCATCAGAACTATTAACTTTTACCAAGGCAGAACCCTCCATTTCATACAGTTGTAACCCTTTGTATTTTGACTTTAAACTTTCAAGGAACAAAGATGCCAGAGCTAAAGGGACAGAAAAACCAAAGGATATAGGAGGCCCCTCAAAGGACCGTCTCCAAGACCTTGATCCTGAAGAGCCAAATAAAAGCAAAGAGGAGGGAGAGAATGTAGTACATTCCTCAGGAGGTAGAGTTGATGCACCTGCTTCAGGATCTGCCTGCAGCAGCCTGAACAAGCAGGATCCTGGGGGCAGCCATGGGTCAGAGACAGAAGACACAGGGAGAAGCCTTCCCAGCAAGAAAGAACGATCTGGGAAGTCTCACCGACACAAAAAGAAAAAGCACAAAAAATCTAGCAAACACAAGCGGAAACACAAGGTTGACCCAGAAGAGAAAAGCTCTAAAGCCGAGTCTGGGGAGAAGTCTAAGAAGCGGAAGAAACGAAAACGAAAGAAGAATAAGTCATCAGTTCCAGCAGATTCTGAATGGGGCCCCAAACCAGAACCCCCTGGGAGTGGCAGCCCTGCACCACCAAGAAGACAGCGTCAAGCTCAAGGTGATTCCCAGCGGAGATCCCTTCCAGCTGAAGAGGGGAGCAGTGGCAAGAAGGATGAAAGTGGGGGCGGTAGCAGCTCCCAAGATCACGGTGGGAGGAAACACAAAGGTGAACCTCCAGCTTCATCCTGCCAGCGAAGAGCTGGCACCAAACGGAGCAGCCGATCCAGCCATAGGAGTCGACCCAGTAGCGGAGATGAGGATAGTGATGATGCCTCATCACGCAGGCAGCACCAGAAGTCTCCATCCCAGTACAGTGAGGAGGAAGAGGAAGAATCAGGCAGTGAGCATTCTCGTAGCCGATCACGGTCTGGCCGGCGCCATTCCTCGCACCGCTCTTCCAGGCGTTCTTACTCAAGTAGCTCAGATGCTTCTTCTGAACAGAGCTGCTATAGTAGACAGCGCAGTTACTCTGATGACAGCTACAGTGACTATAGTGATAGATCACGAAGGCACTCCAAGCGCTCCCACGACTCTGATGACTCAGACTATGCCAGCTCCAAGCGCCGGTCCAAACGGCACAAATACTCATCTTCTGATGATGACTCTAGCCTCAGTTGCAGCCAGTCCCTCAGCCGGTCTCGGAGCCATTCTAGGGAGCGCTCAAGATCCCGGGGCCGCAGCCACAGCAGCAGTTGTAGTCGAAGCCGGAGCAAGCGGAGAAGTCGCAGCACCACAGCCCACAGCTGGCAGCGGAGCCGCAGCTATAGCCGGGACCGCAGCCGCAGTACCAGGAGCCCTTCCCAGAGATCAGGCTCCAGGAAGGGCTCCTGGGGTCATGAGAGCCCTGAGGAGAGGCGTTCTGGTCGTCGGGACTTCATTCGCTCTAAGATCTACCGCTCCCAGTCCCCCCACTATTTCCGTTCCAGCCGAGGAGAAGGTCCTGGGAAGAAAGAAGATAGCAGAGGAGATGATGGTAAGGGAACAGGTCCATCCTCTCAGAACAGCAGCGCTAGTGCAGGAAGGGGATCAGATGGTGACTGCAGCCCTGAAGACAAGAACTCTGTCACTGCCAAGCTGCTGCTAGAGAAGATCCAGTCAAGGAAAGTGGAGAGGAAACACAGTGTGAGTGAGGAGGTGCTGGCCACCCCTAATAAAGCTGGACTCAAGCTCAAGGACCCCCCACAAGGTTACTTTGGGCCCAAGCTCCCTCCCTCTCTTGGCAGTAAGCCTGTACTTCCACTGATAGGGAAGCTTCCAGCTACCCGGAAGCCCAACACCAAGAAATGTGAAGAGTCTGGCTTGGAAAGGGGGGATGAACAAGAACAGTCAGAGACAGAAGAGGGGCCCCCAGGGAGTAGTGATGCCCCATTTGGGCATCAGTTCCCCTCAGAGCAAACAGCTGGCCCCTTATCAGACCTACCCCCAGAGGAGCCAAAGTCTGAAGAAGCTACTGCTGATCACACTGTGGCTCCATTGGGCACTCCAGCACACTCTGACTGCTACCCCGGGGACCCAGCCATCTCCCATAACTACCTCCCTGACCCCAGTGATGGGGACACCCTAGAGTCCCTGGATAGCAGCAGTCAGCCAGGCCCTGTGGAATCCAGCTTGCTTCCTATAGCACCAGACCTTGAGCACTTCCCCAGTTATGCACCTCCCAGTGGGGAGCCTAGCATTGAGTCAACAGATGGGGCTGAGGATGCCTCATTAGCCCCCCTGGAGAGTCAACCCATCACCTTTACCCCTGAGGAGATGGAGAAGTACAGCAAGCTCCAGCAGGCGGCCCAGCAACACATACAGCAGCAGCTTCTGGCCAAGCAAGTAAAGGCCTTCCCAGCCTCAGCTGCCCTGGCCCCAGCCACTCCAGCCCTGCAGCCTATCCACATTCAGCAGCCAGCCACAGCCTCTGCCACCTCCATCACAACTGTTCAGCATGCCATCCTGCAACATCATGCTGCAGCAGCTGCTGCTGCCATTGGTATTCACCCACACCCTCATCCCCAGCCACTTGCCCAAGTGCATCACATTCCCCAGCCCCACTTGACTCCCATTTCCTTGTCCCACCTCACTCACTCAATCATCCCTGGTCACCCTGCCACCTTCCTTGCTAGCCATCCTATCCACATCATTCCTGCCTCAGCCATCCATCCTGGGCCCTTCACCTTCCACCCCGTCCCACATGCTGCCCTCTACCCTACTCTACTTGCCCCACGGCCTGCCGCAGCAGCTGCCACTGCCCTCCACCTTCACCCACTGCTTCACCCCATCTTCTCAGGTCAGGACCTGCAGCACCCTCCCAGCCATGGCACATGAGTTGGGGATGGGAGCCCAGGTAGGACCAGGGAAGGTGACCATGAATCTTTCCTTGGGGGTGTTGAGCCATTAATACCAGCAAGTAGAAGCTGGAGTGGGCAGTGTCTTTTAAAAGCCAAAGAATCGACTTTTGGCTTACAGGGGTGGTTTTAGATTTGAGATTTACTTTGGGTTTACTATCAGGGATTTTTTTCCTTTCCCCCTTTCTGTTTTTCTCTTCCTCTCCTGTGTTTCTAAGCTAGGGAACACCAGTAAGTGCTACCCACCCCTTTACAGCAACATCTCTAAACTGTCAGGTTCAGATGCTCCCCTCCTCCCTCTACTTTTTATCCTCTGCTCTTCCTTTGATAAATTTTAAAACATTTCCTCCCTTCTGGCTGGCGGGTTATCACCAAGCACTTGCCATGGGCCATCTCGTCCTGTTTTCTTAGTGCCACGGGGAAGGCCATGCTGTCCCTCAGGTGGTAAAACTACCACCACTTTGGGCCAGTATCTTTGGCGATCCCTCGGTGACCTTATGTTATCCCCGGTGAGGTAGAAAGGGAGTCTGACTTGGAACCAGCGAATCAGATGCTGCTCTGGCTGTAATTTGATCCACGTCTCCCACAGAGCCACACGTTTGGCACGGTTGTCCTCTTGTCCCTCTTTCCAGAAGAGGCTTCTGCATATCCCAGAAAAGAAGATCCTATCATGAATAGAAGCTATGTGGAACATGGAGTCACCCATGTGCTTCCCCAGAGAGGAGCTCATGTGTCTGAAGGGTATTTTTTTCTTCTGTCATGTTGATGTTTCCTTCTTAATTTATAGGATTTTTTTTTTTTTTAATGTAAAAAATTGCACTGAACTCTATAAACGTAAATGCTGCTTTTTGTAGCTCATATAAAAAGATTCCATATTTGTAGTATACTGCAATAATATTTTTTACATGCAGCTCTTTAAGTGATCCTTGTTCTGGTGGCTTTATGTAAATATGTTTGCCCTAGTTGAATTAAGAAACTTTAAACGTTATAAAATGAGAACAAAAAATAAAGCATTTGTTTTCTGCTAGATGCAAAAATGACTAAGCATGTATATTTTATCAAGCTCATGTATTTTTTTGAAGTTATGAACTATAAAAATGTTAAAACAAAAAAAGAAACATTGTTAACATTTTTTGCTGAGACAAAATGTTAAGTAAGTTGCAGTAAGTGGTGCTCCCAGCACTGGGATTTTTGAGCTAATGGGCAACAGTCAGCTGGGGGTGTCAGAGGGATGCTTAGTTCTGACCTTCTCTCTCATATGCTTTGTTAATTCAGAGAAACGGGTGGGCCCCACAGAGGAGGAGGAGGAGGAGGAGATCCAAGAGCTTTCTTGAAGCAGTGAGATATTCAGAGTGATTGGTGGGGGAGGGGGTCCCTTGGGTTTTCTGGACCCCTTGTTCCAGGCAGTCCATTTGCCTTCTTAGTACTTAGACCCCTCTGACAATTTTTTTTTTTTTTAATGTGCCTTTTGGGTTGGCTAGAAACTGAAGTAGAAGTAGACAAAGGATGATAGAGTTGGGACTGTTTTCTTCCTCCTTTTGCTGGGAGGTGAGCACATTTATAGACCCTTCAAATTTTTTTGCTTCATAGTTTCCATGCCTTCTGCCCAGCTTAGTTTAAGCAGTAAAGTTTCCTTTTTTTCTCCCGTGACATTGACCAGAGGAATTAACCACCTCAGTCCCCCCTCCCGGCTCTGTGGTCTTTCACTCAGGCTATCAGCCTCAATTAACACACTGACCCAAAGGTACTTGCATTGCAGGTCCTATTCCTTTGGTGTAGTTAGTTCCTTCTTTGGCATTTCCCTACCCATTCCTGTGGCTAGAATTGGTTGGGTGGTCACCTGACAGGAAAAACAAACCCTACTTACCTGGGCCAAGGCTCTACGTTCCTGGCTTTCTTCTCGAATTCCCAAAAGAAGTAGTGTTTTGAGTTCGAGAAGCAAGTGCTGGGCAAAAGAGGTTCTTGACTGCTCCCTACCTGTTCAGTGCTCTTCATCTGATTCAATAGCATTGTTTTTTGGATGACTAGCATTGGAAAAGAAATAATCTGTTTCAAGTGAAGGGACTTATTTTTCTTTGTTTTCAGCCCATGTAAATATTCAAATAATACAGTATTAACATTTCCATGCTGCTTCCCATTAGCTTGTAGATTGAGCCATATTCTGGCCTCCTCTCTGCCTTCCTGGGGGCAGTTTTCTTTAACTTCCAGAATAGTGATTTTAAAACTTAAAGAAGGAAAAACAAAAATGACCTTACCTACAAGCATAACAGGCTGTATTTAACATTATCACATATGATAGAGATACATATGCTGTAAAATGAGGGAAAGAACTTTCTAATAAACCAATGATTTGTGGAAACTTAGCAGAGTCTGTTGTGATCGTTCCCTGTCCACTCAAGTCGGGAAAAGATGGAGTTGTGGATTACAAATAACATCTTGTTTAAAGTGAGCAAGCAGTAGATTCTTGTGAACCAGTTGTTTGTGGTATTTGGAATTGTGCTTCTCAAAGCTCAGACTGCCCATGTTGAAGGAAAAAGATGGCTGTAGGTAGAAGTAATAGGAGTTTAAAGTTTCTCTCAACCTTAGGTAAATGTCTTTCCACTCTTTACCACTCTCTCTTTCCCCACAAGAACTTCTATTTCTTTCCTTTTTCTCATCTTAAATATGTAATCTTTGTATGACATGTAGATGCTCATTAAATGGATTTGGAATTTCTGGCGTTGATTTTTAGGATTTTGGATGAACTTAAGGCCAGTGGGATTACAGGTGTCATCTACCTAGTCTTTGCCCTCTAGGTGGAGTTCTGTATACCAGGCTTGGCTTCCTCTCCTCAACCCTTTAATGTCACTGCAATGCTTGAGAGCCTCTGCCTAGCATAAGGAAATATGTCCTAATTGTTAACTGAGCAGATAAAAGCCCCTACTCTTCTGTATCAAAAATCACAAAAGAAGCAGAGAAATTTAGCGTGGAATAAATTACTTTCCCCTCTCCTCAACCTTTCAGGAGGGAGGAATGTAGTGTCCGTTTCTTTCCTACTGTCTTTGTTATAGCCATGCTCTATCCATCAAGGAGAAGCTTTTAAACCTTGGGTTGGGTGCTCTAATCTATCTCCTAAAATGACAAAGATCCCTGCCCAGAAGGAAAGGATGTTAGAAAATATGAAAAGTGAGTTTTTGAGAGCAGTCAAGCTGCCTTGTTTTGATAAGGGTTCTGCTTGCCTCCCAGCCACCTGAGCTTGAATCGTGGAAGTACTCCCTCTTCTGTACCCCCTATGACTAGCTCAGGCCTAGTCAGCTACTTCCATTCTTATTTGCCAGGGATACTCTTACCAGCTCATGCCTGAATTATTGCAGATCTTCCTGGCTGGCCTCCCTGACTCTAGGATCTAATACGTGCCCCATGTAAGTTTACTGGCTTATCAGAATCTGAGTTCAATTAATTTTGTATTCACTGTTTCTGGTAAAATTGTAAGCTCTGAGAGGACAGGAACTGATTCTTATACTTCCTTTTTCTTACCCCTTAGGAAGTCTGCATAGAGTTGAGCACATGTAAACGTTTTGACTATGTTCAAGGAAGATAGGAGTAAAGTAAAATACCATGAACCATGGATTATGCACCAGGATTCAGTAAGGGAACATTTGAAGATGATAAAAGATTTTTCTCTATCTTCGGTATCACCTATCTCAGATCCAGGCACATAGTAGAAGCTCAGTAATTGTTGACTAAGATAAAGCCTTAACAGAACTTGAATTCAGTGAGGGATTCTAGGACTCAGGCTGATGAGATGAGAAAGTGGAGCAGTGCGTCAGCACTCCTCTGCCAGCTATCAGAAGGGACATCAACCCAGCTCTGACACCATAGAAATACCCATAAGAACTAAACAGCTCTCCCTTCCCAAATCCGATCCACTGCCTGTATTTCCAATTCCTAGTTAATGATACCACTGTCCAGCCAGACACCAAAGCTTGTAGTTACCTTGAATACCTCCCTACACATCCAGTTACTGATTCTGTGATCACTTTTGCTCCTGCCATCAGTACCCAGGCTCAGACCTCATCACCTTTAAGCCAGAGGATAGCAGTCACTATACGTCTGGACTTCCCATTTTCGTTTCTTTCCACAGGCAGCCAGTATAATCTTCCAGATTAGAGCACAATTGATCAGTGTATCTCATCCCCGGCTTTAAAAATATTTATGATTTTCCATCTCATTTGCATTAAAGTTCATATTCCTTAATATGGTATTCAAGAACCTCCAGTGATTTGACCCCAGCCTTCCATCCTACCCTCATTTCCCAGTCCACCCCTTTGAGCACCCGATGCTGAGTTAACTATTACTTCTTTTCCCTTTTCCCTATAATTGGCCTGTATGTTGTTCTGCCGTTCTCTTTGCTTATGTCATCCTCTATGCCTAGAAACTCTGTCATTGTCTGACAAAAGGCAACACAGCGTAATGGTTAAGAACATGGACTCAAGTAGAAACTTGTAATTGAATCCTAGTTTTTGTCACGCGTTGGCTGTGTAACTTGGGCAATTTACCTAAAACCGCAGTTTATGTGTGTTCATATCTTAACTCCCTCTGGACTAAGTTTTTTAAGGATCTTTGATAATTATCTTTGTATCGCTCAGTGCCTTGAACAGAATAAGTAATTACTGAAAATTTTAGTGGACTATGAGTTAATAAGGAGCTGTGGTGACACAATGGTTAAGCACCCTACTGCTAACCAAAATGTTGGCGATTCGAACGCACCAGCCACTCTGCAGGAGAAAAGACCTGGCAGTCTGCTCCCGTAAAGATTACAGCCTGTGAGGCAGTTCTGCCATGTCTTATAGGGTCGCTATGAGTCAAAATTGACTGGATGGCACGCAACAGCAACATGAGTTAGTAGCCACTCAGTTGACGACAGTGGGAAGGTGAGTAGAGGACTGAGTTAAGTGTTCATTCTAACAATTTCATTCATTGCATGCCTACCATGAGCTTGGCACTGGGAATTCAACAGTGAAGCAAGCCCAGACTAAAGTTCAAAGAGCGTTTAACCTAGCGAGGGATAGGATTTTGAGCTATGTGCTAACATGGTGAAGTATGAGGGGAACAGAGGAGCTGAAAGGATTCCAGAATGACACAGAGTGGTTGGGCAGGATAAAGGGGATGGTTGAATTTGATCAGAAGGAAAATATGGATTAAAAGGAGAATGTGGCTATGTTCCTTTACATCTAGAAGACTTCTTGAATCTCCTTCACAAGAACTGCTTTTTTGGGAAGGCACCAGTGCCAATTAGACTTGGCACTCCTGTCTTCTTCCCCTTATCCACAGAAGATGACTTTGCCTTTCTGTTTAAAACTCTTCTCTTTCTACTCTGTGACCCTGTGTTTGCATCTTTATCTTTAGTGCATACTTTTGTTCAGTCTTTTTGTCTTTCAGCCATACCAACTACATGTTAGGCCCTGGGGCTGCAGAAAGGATTCATGCTCTCAATTCACAGACACAATCCAGTAAACAGACCATGACTAAACCGTGTGGTCATTGTTAGCCCCAGCTGCCAGCCTGAGGAGTTGGAGGAAGCTTCTGCTAGGCAATGACCCCAGCAGAGTCAAGTCTTAATGGTTAGACAAGAACTTCGTCACCCAAGAAGAAGCGAGAGCCTGCCTTCAACTGAATAGCTAGTGCATAACCTCAGAGCCTGTGAACCAGAATACCCTGGAGTAATTTCATTCTCTCCATTTCCTTGTCCCTTCGGCCAAGGTCCATTCACCGTACCCCTCCCAGCACTGGCTGCGCTGCCATGGCAAGACCGAGATCTGGCCCAAGATGGAGTGAGGAAGCTGCTGCCCCAATATGGCAGACTGAGGCTGTCCAAAGCCCTAGAAGGAGGAAGTGGTTAAGTACCTTATCCAAAAGGATACAGCAGCCTGAGGCCTTAACAGGAGGCAGCAGCTTCCTTACTTCTTCCCCCACTTCCGGCTAAGTCACAATGTGCCGCAGCAGTGCAGCCAGCTTTTAGGGGGCAGGGCGAGGTCGGGCAGGAAGGTTGTAGAACTCTGGGCTACAGTGGAGGTATACAGACCAGTTAGTTCATGAGTGTACTGTCCCAAACAGGAAGTAATGGTGATTTGCACTAGAGTGGTGGTAGTGGAGATAGAAGATTCAAGAGACATAGTTGAGAGAGAGAACCAACGGGACTTGGTGATAAACTGTTACCAGGGAAAGAGAGGAGTCATTGCTCTCAGCCATAAGCCTCACCCCCTTCCTGACAATCCTAGAGACGATATGGGTGTGTGGAGGGGCTGTATATCCTTTTGTTCTACCCACTGCTCAGCAAGTTGCTTTGGGCCCCAGTTTGATAAGAAATGACTTCCTGTGGTGGAAACTGAAGGGAAGAGGAAGAAGCTAGCCCATTCCTGCCTAGGAGGTTGTGGGAGAAGGAAGATGGCCAGAGCTTTGTGTCCACTGCATGGCCTCTGGTTCCTGGGGTGGGCACAGCTGCTCTTAGGACCCGGTGGTACCCCTCCAACGTGGGCCTTGAACCTGGACCCAGTGCGGCTCACTGTCTACACAGGCCCCAATGGCAGCCACTTTGGGTTTTCATTGGACTTCTACAAGGACAGCAGTGGAAGGTGAGCCTTGCGGGAAGTTTGGGGGTTGGGAGAGAAGGAACCCCGACCCTTGTCACTGCTTCTGTGGGCCTTGAGTTCCCCATTTGTGATAGAGGTTGAGCAAGATGATTTCTAGGGCCTATTCAGGCTGAACTCTGGTTAGAAATAGTGGGGAGGGACCAGCTCAGGTGAGAGTGTCAGGGAGGAAATGGGCACTAAAACCACAGCAAGAACAAAGGGAAGACAAAAGTTGATGCTTTATTTTTTTCTCAAGGGTCAGTTGTAAGACCCACTCTACCTTCATCCCCTCAAAATACAGAGAGGTGCACATGTCCTAAATTGACTTGCAAAACTGTACGATTGTCTACACCCACCTTAAAATTTCTACTCCATTTCCCTCATCCCTATCCTCAAAATTACACATATTTGAAAAGAAGCAGTAAAGCATTAATGGTTGGGATTATCAGGCTGTGGAATCAGACTGCCAAGTTCCCCCTATTAATAGCTGTGTTACCCTGAACTAGTTACTTAGTGTGATGGACACTGTGATGTCCAGCTTCAGGAAGTGGCAAGGGCAGACAGCCTTCAAGTGTCAGCCACTTAATGGGATTTCCTCTCCTGAAGAGAACCACCTTGCCCAAAGTCAAAACTTCTCCCAAGGTGGCCCACATGCAACGACTGATTGACATGCAGGGTGTGTGTGGGTGTAATAAGAGTCTGGCCCTCTCACCTCAACTCAGGACAATTTTAAAGTGTCCTTCTAGCTCCAGAGCATGGGGGGAGGGAGGGAGAGTTGGCCCAAGTCTTTCATTGGACCTGCATAGCAGTTTAACCCCTGCTTGCTCCTACTACTTTCTTTCGCCTCCTTTCCACAGCTATTGGCTTCATGGGTACTCCTAATAAACATCCTGAACGCTTTTAAAAAGAAAAAAATACAGCATTTTATTGAGCATTAATATGTATTGGGTTGGCACCATGCTAAATGCTGCTCATAGATTTACTTTACTCCTCATGACAACAGTGACTGGCTGGTATCCTCATTTTACATATGAAAGGTTAAATGACTTTAAACAAAGTCATACAGTAAATGGCAGAGCTGTGATTTGAACCTAGATCTGCTAGGGTTCTCAGGTCTATCAGCAACCACCACCACCACCCCCATCCTCCCCGCCCCAGAGGGCCCTCTGGCTTTCTTCCTTCTTCACCATTAAAATCAATTCTCAGAAAGGGACCTGGTAAACTGTCTAATAGTCTCCAGACAGACGTTCTAGGGAGCATGTGATCCCCTGGCTTTTGGTGTGACAGAATGGGAGAGGGGTTGGAGGTAGTATACAGAGTTTGAGAGGTCTTTTTCAGCAGGAATATCAAACCGCTTGTGTCCAAATCAAACCAAATAGTTATAGTCCCAGCTTTACCCTCAATTCGCTGGATTACTTTAGGCATGTGATTTCCTCTCCGAGAGTCAGTTTCGCTGTCATAAAGTGAAGATGCTGGCCTCGACGGTCTGTGAGGTCTTGTTGAGGAAAGCTGGTGCAGCCCCCCATGGCACACCGCCTTCTGGGCAGCGCTCCCAGCGCAGGCACTGGGCATGGGCCACGCCGGAATCGGCGCAACGCTCACCCAGCTCTCCTCCGCAGCGTGGGTATCGTGGTGGGAGCCCCTCGGGCCCTGGACCGTAGCTCGGAGGAAACCGGCGGTGTGTTCCTGTGCCGTTGGAGAGCCGAGGGCGGCCAGTGCACCTCGCTGCCCTTCAACCTCAGTGAGTCTGGAGCGAGGAGGGAAGGAGGAGGGGCCAGAGGGGGCGTGGACGACCAGGCTTCAGCTCCCCCACCCCTTCTTCTGTTCTCCAGAGGATGACACCCAAAACATGGGCTCCCAAACCTTTCAAACCTTCAAGGCCGGGCAAGGACTGGGGGCTTCTGTCGTCAGCTGGAGGGACTACATTGTGGTGTGGCCGCGGGACAGAGGATAGGGTGCAGGCGGGGGCGGGGACACGTCTGGTGGGAGGAGTGAGGTGGCCCCCGAGCCCCAGCCCCGCGCCCTTCCCCACTCTTGTGTGGCCCTGCCCCAGGCTTGTGCTCCCTGGCAGCATTGGAATGTGCTAGAAAATACCGAGGAGGCCGAGAAGACGCCCGTAGGTGGCTGCTGGGTGGCTCATCTCCAGAGCGGCGGCCGCGCAGAGTACTCGCCCTGCCGGGCTAACACCATGAGCCGGGTTTACGTCCAAAATGATTTTAGTGAGCGCTGCCCCTGCTTTGGCCCCACCCGCTCGCTTCCGTTTAACAGTGTCCTTAGTCTAGTCCCTCCCCCAGCGCTGTAAGATTCTGCTTTCAACCTGGTCTCTGTGAGTCGGAATCGACTCCAAGGCAATGCGTTTGGGTTTTTTGTTTGTTTGTTTTAATCTGGTCGCTCCTCCACCGCTCCAAAACTCTGCTTTCAATCTGGCTTTGCCCAGTGGCCCAGCTTCTGCCCCTCGCTGCTCCTCGCGTCCTTTCAAGGCCACGCCTCTATATTACTCCTGGCCCTGCGCCACATGGCCCCGCCTCCGCCGAGCCCAGGCTCGGATCCAATCTTCTGGATCCGACCCTTCACTGATCCCTCCTCCTTGCGTCCTCTAGGCCATGACAAACGCTACTGCGAAGTGGGCTTCAGCTCGGTGGTCACCCAGGCGAGTAGGAAGCGTGAGAGGCGAGGGAGCGGCCTGGAACAGGGCACCCTCTCACCTCCGCGGCTTCCCTTTTAGGCTGGGGAGCTGGTGCTTGGGGCCCCCGGTGGCTATTTTTTCTTAGGTATGTCCTCCATCCCATCCGTACACCTCCCTCCCTTCTCGCGGCTCCGCACCTAAGGGGGACCCCAGACATCTAGGCCCCACTCCCTCCTCCTCGGTCTTAGGGCTCCTGGCCCGGGCTTCAGTCGCTGATATCGTCTCGGGTTACAGTCGTCGTCGGGACAGTCTCTTGTGGCACGTGCCCACAAGCTTCACCTCCGACTACAGCAACTCAGAGTTCTTCGACGGCTACCGGGGTAACCTGACAATGAGCTTCCAGGCTTCCCAGACCCCTTAGGGTCACCGCCCACCCGGGCCAGTCAGTCCTGAGCCCTCCCCCCAACTCCGTGCCTCTCCGCTCTACACCCGCAGCGCCACCCGCAAACTGCCCAGCCCCCTTGCAACTCCTCGCCGTGGTCCTGCGACGCGGCCTTGAGCGGGTCTTGGCCTCACCATGGCCTCAGTGTTCCCATCTACACAACGCAGGATTTAACCTGTATAGTCTAAGAGTCCCCTCGTTCCTCGCTTTCGGCTCTCTTCCTTCTTCCCCCCTCGGAAAGACTAATTTGCGCTGTGTCCTCAGGGTACTCGGTGGCCGTGGGCGAGTTCGACCGGAATCCCAACACTACAGGCAAGAAATCCCCTTAGACAGGGGCGGGGGTCAGGGAGCCCAGCCGGGAAGAAGCACCTCCAAGCCCCGCACCGAAATCTCCTCTGGGAGGCGAGGGGGGTGGACAGGCACGAAGGACCTCATTTGCTGGGCCCGGCTTTCCCCAGAGTATGTCTTCGGTGCCCCCACCTGGAGTTGGACCCTGGGAGCGGTGAGTGCCCGCCGCCCCGCCCCTCGGCATCCCGAAGTCCCCAACCGCAGTTCTCAGTTAGACAATTCCTGCGTGGGGGCAGGAATGACACCCTCTCACGCACACCCGGCACAGGTGGAGATTTTGAACTCGGACCTCAAGATGCTGCACCGGCTGCTTGGGGAGCAGGTGAGGGCCCTGTCCCAGTGGGGATAGCCGAGGCTGGGGGACTAGGACCCCAGAATATCCCGCAGAATCGGGAAGGGCGAAGTCTGGGAGAGGGTGCTGGGTTCAACGGCGCGAGTTAAGGGGCTCCTCGTCTTCCTGCAGATGGCTTCGTATTTCGGGCACTCGGTGGCTGTCACTGACGTCAACGGGGATGGGTGAGGAGGGGGTGCCCCACCCCAGCCCATTTGGGTCCCGGGTCAGCAGAGGTGCGGGCCACCCTTAGAAGCAAAGCGAGGGTAACAGCGCCCAGGGGCGATCTCTAAGTTGCACCCCACCCCCAAATTTCAAGAAGAATAGACGGTGATAGCCGGGACGTGTTGACAGAAATGCATTCGCCCATCCTGTCCGGCTGCCTCAGTCAGTCACCTTTCGTATTTGTGGCACCTGGGAATGTCATTTTTGGCACCTCTGGTGCCCCCTTGGACTTGCACCCCTGGGAAATATGCTCCCCTCTGCCCTCCCTTGCTACGCCTCTGGCCACCCTCAGTCCCCTTCTTTCCTTGTCCCCACCCCATACAACCACCCAGGCAAAGTGGGAAGGTGAGGGTGGGCAAGATTTGGCCTGGCCTTCAGCACCCCCCTCGACTAGCCCCACATATCATCTACAGGAGGCATGACCTGCTAGTGGGCGCACCGCTGTACATGGACAGCTGGGCTGACCACAAGCTGGCCGAGGTGGGGCGCGTGTACTTGTACCTGCAGCCCCGTGGCCCCCACATGCTGGGCACCCCCAGCCTCCTGCTGACCGGCACCCAGCTCTACGGACGATTTGGCTCGGCCATTGCCCCCCTGGGTGACCTCGACCACGATGGCTACAATGGTGAGGGACAGATGTGGTCTGCTTGCTTGCTGCAGAGGGGTGAACAGTCTGACAAGGAACTTGCACCTGACCTAAGAGCTGTGGAGCCAGGAAGGGCTTTAAGCAGAGAGTGACCCCATCAAATAGGTGGTTAGTTTAGAGACTCAGCCTGCTGAGTGGAGAGCAGATTGAATAGTTAAAGGAGACCAGTTAGGATAAATTTGCATAATCCAGGAAAGAGATGATGACAGATTTGGTGGAGTTCCAGATAAGGGTAATTCACACATAATTTAGGACTTATTTGGACCTGATGGGTGGCTGGATGTGGGGCTAAGGAAGAGGGAGGAGTCGGATGAGTGGTGGTGCCCCTCACTGCCTCAGGGAACTCGGGCCATGCAGCAGGTCTGCGGTGAAAAGATCAGCAGCTGAACTCTGGACCTATGAGCTTGAAGGGCTTGTTTGGACACATTAGATTGAAATGCCCAGAGAACAGTTGTGTGTGGCTTCTGCTACTTCCACAAGAGAGGTCTGAGGTTTGGGGAGGGTGAATGAGTAACCTGTGAAATGAGAAGTGGCCTAGGACAGAGCCATTTAGGGGACTCACAGTGAAGGCAAGTCTGGGAGGAGACAGAGAAAGAGTGTCACAGAGAGGTAGGAGGGACACCGAGAGAGCTGACGGCCCAGACTCAAAGGAAGAGGGTGCTTCAAGCAAGAGGGGAGGGGTGTCAGTGGCTTCTGATGCTGCTGAAAGGAACTGAAGAAACATCCATGGGTTTTAGCATGGTGACAGTGACAAGAGCCATTTTAGGGTGGGGTAGGGACAGATGCCAGAATGCCATGGGTCAAGATATGAATGGTGGATGAAGAATTGGAGGCAGCCAGTGTAGACAGCTCTTTCAACCAGTTTGAAAGGGAAGAGAGAAAGGATGGTCGCTGAAAGGAGATGAGGGTCAAGAGAAGATTGTTATAATCTGGAAGAATATGGAATTAGTTGAATATGGAGGAAAATGATCTTGTGGGGAGATAGGAGGAGGGGATAATCCAGAGGAGGGCTCCTGCAAAGCCAAAGGGGGGAGGTGGGACTCAGCCCAAGGGCAGGAGTAAAGGAGGGACATGTATTCCACAGTCAAATGGGGAAGGCAGAAAGAAAGTGAACGTGGATTTACAGCACAAGAGTTGATGTGAGGATGGCTATGGCTTCTCTTTATGAAGTAGGAGATGAGATCAGCTGCCAAAGGAAGTAGGAGTTGGGATCTTGACAGAACACAGACAGTTTGAAATAGGCACTGAGCAGACTAGGAGAGGGAACTGACCGGAAAACCTCACAGGACTGCTAAGCAGCACTGAGGTCCCTGGTGATAGCTGGAGACCAGAAACTCATGGTGCCCAATCTGCTCTGTCTCTCCAGCAACCCTGGATGCAGATGGCTATTGAATTAACCCCAGGCGGGTTCTGGCCAGGCTTGCCTAGAACTGGCAATGGGATGAGAAGGCTCAGAATATGGCAAGTGTGGCCGAATAGGCAGGATGAGGAAGCCAGCAGATCAGAAGAGAGTGGAGGCCAAGGGCTTGGGGAAACAACTGTGGTCAGAACTGGGCCATCTGGGTGAATTCGGTATAACTTGGTTGGAAAAATCGATAAATATATTTATAAGTTAAAAAAAAAAAAAAACTGCACCATAAACAAAGTGACAGAACAAAGGAAAGACAGTTGCAACACATATACCAAAGATCTTAACTCCTATAATATGCAAAGAACTCTTATAAATTAATAAGATTGTGATGATTAAATAATGCCCACCCAAATACATCTTTATAAGAGATCTTGAAAGTTACTAGTGATGACAAGCCCATGGTATGGCTCTGGATTTCCCTGGCAGAAGTGGTACGGGGTAAAGGCCCCCCGAGAGGTGCCAATATTTAATAGATCTCTATTACTTAGTTAGAGTCCCTGCATGGCAATTGGCTATTAACGGAAAGGCTGGTGGTTCGAGTCCACCCAGAGGCACCTCGCAGAAAGGCCTGGCAGTCTACTCCCCCCAAAAATCAGTCATTGAAAAACCTATGGAGCACAGTTCTACCTTGACACACATGGGCTCTCCATGAGTCAGAACTGGCTCAATGGCAACTGGTTTGGTGATTTTTTGTTGTTGTTTTTTGTTTGTTTTTGGTTACTCAATCTTCTGGAACTCAGTTTTCTCATCTAAAAGGAGAATAATAATGCCTAACTTTCAGGATTAAATGAGATCATGTCAATATATTTATCTCAGTATGTGGTGAGTGCTGTGACAGTTTTTAGAACAGTTCCTACTTTACAGGCCTACCTCTCCTACATGATTGTAAACTCCTGGAGAGCAGGCAGCAGACTCCTTGGCCCAGAGCTTTGCACCCCTCTTCTGGGCTCCTGGGGGCTCTTCTTAGAGAAGGAGCTCAGGAAAGTGTTATAGGCTCACTTGGGAGATTGAATAACAACCACTCCCTTCCTGTTGCTCCTTCCAGATCTTGCAGTGGCCGCCCCCTATGGGGGTCCCAGCGGCCGAGGCCAGGTGCTGGTGTTCCGGGGCCAGAGTGAGGGGCTGATCTCACGCCCATCCCAGGTCCTGGACAGCCCCTTCCCCAAAGGCTCTGGCTTTGGCTTCTCCCTGCGAGGTGCCACAGACATTGATGACAACGGATACCCAGGTGCCCCTGAACTGCCTCCAGCTGGGCAAGAAGGGCCCATGGGCATTAGCTGGCAGTGCTAAGAGACACAGCCAGGGCTCCATGCCTGAGCTGGTGCCCCACTGAGGGCTCTGACCTATTTGTTATGGGATACCAGGGGTGTCAATTAAACTTCCAATGGAGGAGGTGGTGTGGGGGGCCCCTGGGAAGATGAGGTGAGGACCCCATGCCCTCTTAATTGCCAATCCTGATCCCCACTCCCAATGTCTATAGACCTGCTGGTGGGAGCTTATGGGGCTAGCAAGGTGGCTGTGTACAGGTGAGTACTGGCTCCAGGGACAGGGGAGGGGAGGGCCCCCAGGATGTGGCAGCCCACACCATCCGGGAGGCCGGGCCAAGAGGGGCCACAATGGCAGGCCTCCCGCATCCCATCAGAGCTCAGCCTGTGGTGATGGCCAGTGTCAAGCTGCTGGTGCAAGATTCACTGAATCCTGCTGTGAAGGATTGTATCCTGCCCCAGACCAGCACAGCAGTGAGCTGGTGAGGAGACGGAGGGCAGGGCCAGGTAGGACCTGGGTCCTCAGGGGAGCCCCTAGCCCCTGAGGCCCGTGCGTGTCTTTGCAGCTTCGACATCCAGATATGTGTGGGAGCCACCGGGCACAACATTTCTGAAAAGCTGCGTGAGTGGTGGCATGGCAGGGCAGGAGAGAGGAGGGAATGGGCTTCCCCAGAGGCTGGCCAGGGAGGCCCTGACCTTCCTCTTGCCCTGCCAGACCTGAATGCTGAGCTGCAGCTGGACAGGCAGAAGCCACGCCAGGGCCGGCGGGTGCTGCTGCTGGCCTCTCAGCAGGCGAGCACCACCCTGAGCCTGGACCTGGGCAGGAAGCACAGCCCTATCTGCCACACCACCAAGGCCTTCCTTCGGGTATGCCCAGGCAGGGGAGGGGTGGGCGCTGTGCATCCAGAGGTGGTCAGTGGGACATGGTCCCTGCTGGCCATGGGAGGGTGGGATGTACATGGTAGCAAGACAGGCTGACTCTCGTCCCCCTCCCCAGGATGAGGCTGACTTCCGGGACAAGCTGAGCCCCATTGTGCTCAGCCTCAACGTGTCCCTGCAGCCTGAGGAGACTGGACTGGCACCTGCTCTTGTGCTGCATGGAGAAACTCATGTCCAGGAGCAGGTGGGAGTGGGCAGGGACAGGCAAGGGAGGTGCAGGTCCTCTGCTAGAAAGTCAGGGTGAGGGTTAGTGCCCAAATTGTAATAGGAACCCCAAAACCTTGATGTCACCTTTAATCTCTGATGGCACTCTAAACCCTAATGAAAACCCCCAAATGGCAATATCCCCTTACGCCCTGATGTAAACTCAAGTGTTGATGTACACTCATAAACCCTGATGTCATCACCAAAACTCTGACATGATCCCAAGCCCTAATGTAAACCTAAATCCCTGATGTCACCCCCAAACTCCTTTTCATCCTCAGATCTCATTCCCTAAACCCTGATGTGAATCCCAGCTCAGTGTTGTTTTCCCAACTGTGATGTGACCACAAATCTCACTGGCTCCAAGCTTACCCACACACCCTAATGTGCCCCTCTAGACTCGCATCATCCTGGACTGTGGGGAGGATGACCTGTGTGTGCCCCAGCTTCAGCTGACTGCCAACATGTGAGGAGACCCCACTCTACCCTGCCCTGGCCCTCTCTACCCCGACAATGCCACCTTTCCCCCTGGATCCTAATACTCTGTCCTGAGCCCCTCTCCACCCCACCCCCCGACCCTGAGCTTGGACCGGGTACCCCAAGCTTTATCACTTTGCCTCTACAGGAGTGGCTTCCTGCTTCTGATTGGGGCTGACAATGTACTGGAGCTGCGGATGGATGCTACCAACAAAGGCGAGGGGGCCTATGAGGCTGAGCTAGCCGTGCACCTGCCCCCAGGTGCCCACTACATGCAGGCCCTCAGCGACCTTGAGGTAAGGCCCCCACCCTGGGGGCGCTACCAGGGACCCGGAAGGTGCAGGAGGCTTGACTCCCATTTCTCTTATGCTTTGCTGTAAAAGCTATAACATATATATTTTTTTAATTTGGAAAAGGAATATTTGCTAATGGCATGAAATTCAGGAAGTATATTATAAAACCAAGACCAAAAATAACTCAGGAACCAAGTGTTAACAGGAACCCCTGTTAACATTTGATAGCTTTCCTTCCCAGTATTTTTTCTTGACACTGACAGACCCTTACATATGTACATATTTATGTTTAATTTTGCTGATACAGTTTAACACAATGGGGTTATACTCTATGTAACGTTTTGTGTTTCATTTCCAAAATGAAAATTCATTTTTAAAAAAAAGTAAATTGCTACTGCAATACATAAAGGAGAACAATACAATCCCTTGAGCTCCCACCCCAAGAAACCCCTCTTTCTATCCCAACATGTGAATCTTTGCAGACTTTCCAAGGGAGCATAAATATGTAGGGGATGCTCTATAACCATCTTCTTTCTGGGAACTGCCTCCCCAAAGGGGTTTGAAAGGCTCATCTGTAACCAGAAGAAAGAGAACGAGACCAAGGTGGTGCTGTGTGAGCTGGGCAACCCCATGGAGAATGATGCCCGGGTGAGGACGGGGCATCCTGGTGCTGGGTCTTCTCCAGCAGGGGCTCGTTGACAGTGCGTTTTAGAGGTTGCTTTTGGAGTCAGATCACTCTGGGTGGGAATCTCGGTCTTCACATTCCCTAGCTGTGTGTTCTTAAGTGACTGACCCCCTCTCTGAGTAGGCTTCTAGGTAAAATTAATAATAGTGGTGGTCTTGGAGGGTAAGGACTGGTGACCAGTTTCAGGGTGGGGCTGCCCAGAGTGGGCATTTAAACAGTGACTTTGGCCCTCCCCCTTTCCCAGATACAAATCACAATGTTGGTGAGTGTGGGGAATCTGGAAGAGGCTGGGGAGTACGTGTCCTTCCGGCTGCAAATCAGGAGGTACTAGACCAGGGAGCACTTCTACCTACCACCCTTCCCCACCTGACCCCAACGTAGAGACCTTCAGATGCTCTCAAGACAGAAGGGTCTTTTTGAGATGCCTGTTCTTCAGGCCTCCTTGTTCCCTTTCTTCCTCAGAGACTTGTTTCTGAGTCTTGGAGCCCCAGAGGAAGTTCTTTCCCAGGTCTAAGTTCAGTGTGGCATGCTGTTTGTAGAATTAGCCTGCCCTAAACACCCTGAAATTCTGCCTCAGGCTAGTGTCGCTCACCTGCCTCTCCTCATCCCCTCCCCTCCAGCAAGAACAGCCAGAATCCAAACAGTGAGATGGTGCTGCTGAATGTGCCAGTCCGGGCAGATGCACACGTGGAACTTCGAGGGTGAGAACCTAGGGTGGATAAGGGAGATGGCAGGCAGGCCCTGAGATTCAGGGGGCTCTGGGAGAGCCCTCACAGGCTGATCAGGGGGTCAAGCTTACCTGGGTGTGGGGGCTCGGGGACCTGCAGGAACTCCGTTCCGGCTTCGCTGGTGGTGGCATCTGATGAAGGCAACAGGGAGGAGAAAAGCTGGGGCCCCAAAGTGGAGCACACCTATGAGGTAAGAAGGAGCCTCTGGGCTCCAGGCTGGGGTGGGAGGGTCCTAGAAGCTGAGGCTGGGTGCTGAGCCTCCTGACATCCTGCCACCAACTCCCCTGTCCCAGCTCCACAACAAGGGCCCTGGTGCTGTCAGTGGCCTGCGCCTCAACCTGCGGCTTCCTGGCCAGTCCCAGTCTTCCGATCTGCTCTACATCCTGGATGTGCGGCCCCAGGGGGGGCTCAACTGCTCCTCACAGCCCTCCTCCAACCCCCGCCAGGTGAGAGCTGGGGCAGAAGAAAGCTATGGGGAGTCCTCAGACCAACAGCCAGGACACCTTGGAGAGTGGGAGCTGGGCAGACAGGGGCCTGACCGCTCCTTTGCCTTCCCAGCTGGACTGGAGGCTGCCCGCCCCCAGCCGGTCCCCTGTTTACCCCAAGCATCACAAGCGGGAGCGCAGACAGGCTCTGCAGCCAGGCTCACAGCAGCCCTCCAAGCTCCAAGAACCCATTCTAGTGGTGAGCAGGCTCTTTGGTCTTCAGCCAGAGTCTCCGTGGCACCCAGGGGCAGAGGGATGGGGGAAAGGAGAGGGGCCTCACGTGGACCACACCCGGCCCCGTTGAATGCTCCAAGTGCATGAGGATGAAGGATTGTGCTGGGCTTGTGTGTGGGGTGGGGGTGGGGGGCACTTGCCTTTTTTTAAGGTCCCCAATACATTAGGAAAAAAAAGAATTTTATTGTCAGAGCAGGGTTACAAATCAAACCCATTGCCATCAAATCGATTTTCAACTCAGAGCGACCCTATAAGACAGAGTAGAACTGCCCCATGGGGTTTCCAATTTGCAGAGGTAGCCCTGGTGGCGCAGCGGTTAAAGCGCTCGACTGCCAACCGAAAGGTCTGCGCTTGGAACCCACCAGCTGCTCCGCGGAAGAAAGATGTGGCAGTCTGCTTCCATAAAGATTTACAGCCTTGGAAACTCAATGGAGCAGTTCTCTGTCCTATAGGGTCGCTATGAGTTGGAATCCACTCCATGGCAGTGGGTAAGCAGACTGCCACATCTTTCTCCTGCTGAGCAGCTCAACCGCTGACCTTTCAGTTAGTGGCGGAGGGCTTAATCACTGAGCCACCAGGGCTCCTTAGGGTTACAAAAATTCTGGGTATTTAATGCTATCTGACCCGCTTCTTTCCGCCCTCTCCCAGCATCTCAGGGACTGTGAGCAACCCCATGGAGAGAGAATGTCTGAAGCTTGAATTGGAGGCCCTTCCTGAGGGGGAGGCCTGAGCTTCCTAGCCCTCTGGCCCTCTGTGTATTGGGTGCTTGGGTTAGGGGGTGATGGGGCAGGAATGGTTGAAGATTGATGACACTTCTCCCCAGAACTGCGACTTGGTGCCCTGTACTGTAGTGCAGTGTGAGCTGCAGGAGATGGCGCGAGGGCAGCGAGCCATGGTCACCGTGCTGGCTTTAGCCTGGCTGCCCAGCCTCCGCCAGGTGGGACCGGACGCGGGTCGAAATGGGCAGGGCCCAGAGACCGGGCTTGCAAACGAGGGGGCGGGGCTTCCTAGAGGCGGTGGCCGGGTTTGCTCTGAGGAGAGGCGGGGCTCCAGGAAGTGGGTGGGGACTAGGTGAGGGCATGGTTTACTTTGGGTGGAGGGGGGATTAGCCCAGGAGCGGAGGAGGTGAGGGCTTATACTCTTGCAGCCAATAGGCCTTGTGTGGGTATAAATGATTCTTACCCTCAACCACATCCAGAGGCCACTGGATCAGTTTATCCTGCAGTCTCACGCTTCGTTCAACGTATCTGCCCTTCCCTACGCGGTGCCCGCCCTCAGCCTGCCCAGAGGGGAAGCACTAGTGAGTACCAGGGATGGTGGCAGAGTTTTGCAAGAAGGACCACTGGTTTTCCCATGTGGCAGTGCCCAGGATGGGGGCAGGGCCTCCCTGGGTCTGAGGGGTGGTACAGGTAGATGGTTTGGCTGGGGGTCACCAGTCTGCAGGTTCCAGTCTTGGCATAGGTGTCATCACAGGGGCTGAGGAGGCACATGGGTTTGTTCCCAGGTGCAGACGCAGCTGCTTCGGGTCTTGGAGGAGAGGGACATTCCTATCTGGTGGATTCTGGTAGGCGTGCTGGGTGGTCTGCTGCTGCTCACGCTGCTGGTCCTAGCCATGTGGAAGGTGAGGCATGAAGGGGGGTGGAATCCCCAGGTGGATGCAGTCTTGGCCCTTCCCTACCTCACAGGGAAAGGTGGTGGCCCAAGTGGGTGACCCAGCGCCCATCACACCCACATCTCCACTGTCAGAATGCCGTTCTCCAGAGGACCTCCTCCAGGGCACATACCCCTGGGAAGGGTGGCACCTCAAGTCCTAAGGCCTTTAGACACTTTCCTCCCTGAGAGAGAGCCCAGTGATGCAGTCGTTAAGTGCTTGGCTATTAACCGAAAGGTTGGTGGTTTGATCCCACTGGGGCTGCTCCTTGGGAGAAAGATGTGGCAGTCTTGCTTCTGTAAAGATTACAGCCTTGGAAACCCTATGGGACCGTTCTACCCTGTCCTATAGGGTCACTGTGAGTTTTGGATTTCTCCCTGAGAGGAAGAGTCCCAGGGAATTAGTTTTGCCTTCAGGAATTCTGGGACTGCGGAGGAGGATAGGGTTCACTTCCTCCCAGCTCTGTCCTTCACCCTGACTGACCCAGGGTCTAATTTAGACCCTCTGCACATGGAGAACAAGCAGGTGGGGCTCAATCTGAAGCTCTCAAACTCACTCAGGTGGCCAGGCCCTGGGAAGCCATGGTGCTTTTAGGGAAAACCACACATTAAACTTACTATAATCAAATACATATCATCACATGCTAGAATCTTGCATTTAAGAAAAGTCTAAGTCTGTATTTAAGAAAAATTCAAGGGAGAAAAACACACACACACACACACACACAATTACACATTATCTCTAAATGGGGAAATACTTCCATTTGTGAAACTGTAGGGTCGTGGTTTGTGCCAGCCCAGGGAGAGGACCTGCGTGGCTGTCTGGTGTCTAGCAGCGCTTCAACCCATAATTTTTCCCATTCCGGTTATTGTTCTGGTTCACCCAAATTTTAAAAATTCGGGTCTGCTCCAGTTTCACTTCCTCAGCCATGACTGAACGCGGGAGAACTGGTTGGAAGCCCTGTTTCTAGCACACCTTCCCCTCTGATGCTCTGGGGCCTAAGGATCAGCTTCACACTCTGACCCCAGCCCCCTTGCCTGCCCAGGTCGGCTTCTTCAAGCGGAATCGCCCGCCCCTGGAAGAGGAAGATGAAGAGGAGTGATGGTGCCCTCACTCCATTCCAGCAGGAAGGTGGTGCGGTGCCCACGCTGCCCTTTACTCTCCACTGAGTGCCCCGCAGCTCTGAGCACCCACAAGTTGGAGCTGTTCCATGGGGGCCTCCTGGTGTCCTCCCCTTCCCTACAGAGCTGGGCCACCTTTTTCCTGCTGCCTAATAAAGAGGCTAAGCCCCCCTCCGCCAGCGTGCTGCCTCCTTTTGGGGTCAGAGGAGGGGAGGGGGCACCGAAGGAGTGTCTGGGGTAAGGAGCTAGGGTTGGTGGAAGTGTGAGCAGAGAGGGTGTCTGAGCCAGGGCAAAGGTTGAGAATTGCTGTCTTTGGGAAGTGTCAGGGAATAGAGAGTAGGGGATGGCAGATGTGAGAGGAACTAGGGTGACAAGACATCCAGGTGAGGCTGGAGGCAGCTGGGGAGAACTGGAGGGTTTTGAGGGAAGGTAGGATGGGGTTAGGAGCCCTGATGGCACAATGGTTAAGCTCTCAGCTGCTAACTGAAAGGTTGGCGGTTCGAACGCACCGAGAAAAGACCTGGCAACCTGCTCCTGTAAAGATTACAGCCTAGGAAACCCTATGGGGCAGCTCTGTCCTGTAGGGTCCCTATGAGTCAGAACTGACAGCACACATCAATAGCAATGGGATTGGGTTGAGGGCATCAGAGAAGGAGACTGGATCCCTTGTGGGCAGCTGTAAACACTTTTTTTTTTTCATGATTTTGGAGGGGTAAACTTCAAAATGACCTGAGGCCAGGGAAAATAACACCCCCTCCCCCCAGAAAAAAAGGTCTTTAAAGCTGGGTTCCCATTACCTGTCTGTCAGTTTGTTCTACTGTGGTGGTTGTGTGTTGTGTGATGCTGGAAGCTATGCCACCAGTGTTTCAGATACTAGCAGGGTCACCCATGGTGGACAGGTTTCAGCAGAGCTTCCAGACTAAGACAGACTGGGAAGAAAGGCCTGGCAATCTACTTCCAAAAGTTAAGCAATGAAAACCTTATGGATCACCATAGAATATTGTCCAATGTAGTTCTGGAAGATGAGCCCCCTGTGTTGGAAGACACTCCAAATACACAGTGGCTGCAACAATGGACTCAGACATACCAATGATCATGAAGATGGTGCAGGACTGGGCAACGTTTCATTCTGTTATACATGAGGTCATCATGAGTTGGGGCCGACTCGATGGTAACCAACAACAGCAAAGCTGGGTTCAGAGTGAGGGAGGGCAGGAGGAGGCTGGCTAAGCCCTCCGCCTAAGGAAGGCGGTGCCATGCCAGGAGGAGGAGAAAAGGCATTGCTCTTGGGCCGCCCTGCTGCTATCCTTTCTTCACCACCAAGGACAAGAGGTTTCAGTTAGGAAAAACGGCAGTAGGCATGGAGCCCTCAGGAGAGTCAGGGGTGGAAGACAACTCTCCAACTGCAGCGTTGGGGTTGAGGATAGGGGTAGTAGAGAACACCTGAAGTCCTGAGTCCTTGATTCATTTGTTCCATAAATATTTATTGGGCACCTATCATGTGCCTGGTGCTAGTCCAGGTGTGGGGATGGAACAGTGAACAAAGCCCTTGTCCTCATGGAATTTACATTCAACTGGGGGTAGAGAGTTAATTAATAAATGTATGGTCAGCGGCAGTAAGTGCTGAGTAAAAATAAAGGTAAGGGGGTAGAGAGTGATAGAAGATATGTTGGTGTTAGGTAGGGTGGTCAGGGAAGGCCTCTCTGATGAGGTGGACAGAGAGATGAATGAGCCATATGGCTGCTTAGGGATGAAGTGTTTCAGACAGAGAGAATAGCCAGTGTAAAGGCCCTGAGGTGTATTCAAGCAAAAGCAAGGAGGCTCGTGTGGCTGGAGGTGGGTGTGTGAGGGATTCAGAATATTAAGTCAGAGAGGTGGCCCAGGGCCAGGTACGCAGCACCTGGTGGCCATGGGAGGACTTCGGACTTGATGCTACATGTTGTATGGGGGGATGCCACTGATGAACAGATTTACCTTACAACAGCTGCTCGTATTTGATTTCACCCAAAAGGGTGAAAGGTAAATTCTGAAAAGAACACAATAATTTGACATCCACACATGGGCAGTTCCAGAACAGGTTTCTAGTTGGGCAACTGTGACCATTTAGGAACATATTAAGCTTTGATCCTTGAACACCAGCCAGATTACAGCTCTCTCCCCCTGCCATTGTAACTGGACGGCCCCTGACAACTTATCTTGATCCAGCAAGGCATTTATCATTTATCCTTAATAGACAAGACAGAAATGTGAGCTGGAGGATAGAGACTCCGATTTAGACCTGAACAATTCTGATAAAGCTGAAGGAGATCTTTATGGGGGTGTCCCAAAACTCCATCCTGGCCCTAGACTGCCTGGCACTGTTGTGACCCCTTGAATAGAGGCAGAGGAAGCAACTCTTTACCCTGCAGATGGCTGCTGGCTAGGAGGAAGCTCCAACACAATGGGTGACTGAAGCAAATTGAAGGCAGCCTTGACAGACTGTAAAGTTGGGTGGAAACCAACAAGATGAAATTCGCCAGGGATGAGTGCAAAGTCCTGCGCTGGGCTTCCAAAAAATTGGTTACATAAGAGTAGGACTGGGAAATCTGGTCAGATGGAAATTTCTGTTGAAAAGAAAAGAGAGAGAGAGATAATTTGATGGTTTTGTCCACAAGCTCATAACGAAGTCCTTTTAAATCAGAACACCCAGCCAGGGGACCCAACCAGAAGGGAAGCCTGCTGTCCTCTGGGGGATTAGGCCCTTGTCCTGGGTATCAAATCCCCTCCTGGGCACCAAAGGAGAGAGAAGGTGAGAAGTCAGAGAGAACCAGGGAAGACTAGATGAGGTAAGGATTTGGCTAAGCCAGAGCAGAGTGTTGATAACAACCAGACACACTGAGCTGGAAGAAAAGAGAACTGGATTGGGGTGGGGCAGACCAATAGCTGTCTTCAAATGTGGGGTCCAATGGCTGAGGAAGAAGTAAAACAGCTGGTTTGTTGTTCATGAAGCCAGAACTAGTGGCATCAGTGGGTGATTCTTAGTGGGAGAATAAACCCTGTGTCGACCTCTGGAAGAACATCCTAACCGTTATGACTGCCCAGCAATTGATCTGGTTACCTGGGTGCAGGTGAGCCCCACCTCATCCTAGACCAACAATAGTACCATCGATTGTGCCCTGGCTCTGATCAGGCATGTGCTAAACTCTTTGTATCATATCTCATTTAAAGCTACAACGACCCCATGAGGTAGGGTTTATTAAAGGTCCCCACGTTAGAGGGAAGACGACGAGGGCCAGAAGGCTAAGTAACTTGCCCACGGTTTAAGTAAGAGACAGAAGCTAGACAAAAATCCAGGTCTGACTGATTCCCAACAGGGTGCATGCCACCTCAACACTGCGTGGGGGATTGTGCAGAGAGGAGAGGGCAGTAGACCAGGAAATCCTTACACTTTTTTTAGACACTCATGAACCGTACACACCTTTGAGAGTGTGCTTTAAGCGATAGCCCTTCTTTCCCCCCAATTCAGGGGCTCTCAGACCCCAAGAACACCTGTGATTATACCCTTATCACTACGCTCCCTTGCAGCTAGCGTCTGACAGCTGAGTCTAGGTCAGGTGTGCATGGGAGTGCCGCGAGTCAGGGACTGCAGGGTGGGTTGGTGGCTGGGTGTTGGGGTCGGGAATGCTGGGGGCGCCGGGCGGAGCCGGGCCGGGAGGGGGCGGTGCCAGGAGGCCCGCAGTGCAGGGCGCTGCCTGCAGAGGGCGCTGGCGGGGGCTCCGGGAGGAGACAATCGCACTGAGCGGGCGCCGCAACCGGAGCAGGAGCCCGAGCGGCGCGGCGCGG